TGGCCTGAAGTGTGGTGAGTGGGTGAGTGTGCCTGTGTTGTGGCCTGCAGTGTGGTGAGTGTGTGTGTGGGTGATTGTGAGTGGGTGAATGTGCCTGTGTGTTGTGGCCTGCAGTGTGGTGAGTGGGTGTGCGTGTGGGTGATTGTGTCTGTGTGTTGTGGCCTGAAAATGTGGTGAGTGGGTGAGTGTTGTGAGTGTGCCTGTGTGTTGTGGCCTGAAGTGTGGTGAGTGTTGTGAGTGTGCCTGTGTGTTGTGGCCTGCAGTGTGGTGAGTGGGTGAATGTGTGTGTGTGGGTGATTGTGAGTGGGTGATTGTGAGTGGGTGAGTGTGCCTGTGTGTTGTGGCCTGAAAGTGTGGTGAGTGTTGTGAGTGCCTGTGTGTTGTGGCCTGAAGTGTGGTGAGTGGGTGAGTGTGCCTGTGTTGTGGCCTGCAGTGTGGTGAGTGGGTGTGTTATTGTGAGTGGGTGAATGTGCCTGTGTGTTGTGGCCTGAAAGTGTGGTGAGTGTTGTGAGTGCCTGTGTGTTGTGGCCTGCAGTGTGGCGAGTGGGTGAATGTGTGTGTGTGGGTGATTGTGAGTGGGTGAGTGTGCCTGTGTGTTGTGGCCTGAAAGTGTGGTGAGTGTTGTGAGTGTGCCTGTGTTGTGGCCTGAAGTGTGGTGAGTGGGTGTGAGTGTGTGTGTGGGTGATTGTGAGTGGGTGAGTGTGCCTGTGTGTTGTGGCCTGCAGTGTGGTGAGTGGGTGGGTGTGTGTGTGTGGGTGATTGTGAGTGGGTGAGTGTGCCTGTGTGTTGTGGCCTGAACCAGTGCGGTGGTTTCACGCAGTCTGGATGAGATGGAGGAATCTGGTCAAACAGTTTCCTACAACGTAGGCGAAAACAAAAAAAACCTAAAGAACGAGTTAAGTTGACCGCAATAGCAACAGCCGTGGTTGTTGTGCCAGTGGACGATGGGATAAGAAGGCGGCTGATCGTGAGTGGCCCAGAGTGAGGCGGGCAGCTCTGGCCCATCAACGAGCCCCCACTCGCTCGTCTCGGATGAGGCCCGAACTGGTTTGCCGCATTCCAAACACGGCCAACTATTTGAACTTTGGCCGAGTTTCGTTGGTCGTACGCGGTCGCATTTTTTCTCGTCTTTTCGTCCAAAACCACAAGCAGCCTCGCCCACTCGATTGTAATGAAATATGAGAATGGTTTGTGTAACCATTTATGGCAGTAAAACAAGTTGTGTTACGATGTTCAAACACACAGAGCAGAAACCTCTTGCGAGGAATCGTGTCTGCATGGACCGCGTATATGCTTGTGGCGAACATGCAAACAAAAGACACGCTCTGGTGGGTATATGGTGCATTGTCTTTGAAACTGATTGCTCCACACAAGAGACAGCTTTCAGACGCTGTCTCCCCGACAGACCTGGTCTTCACCTGAGGACGGCTGCTTGCGTTGTGGCCGAAACGTCGTGAGAATTATTTTATTATGTTTTATTTTTATTATTTTATTATTTCCCTTCTACGTGACGACTTTACCGAAAGAACCAAGAAGAAGAGACAGCTTTCTTTATAGAGCCTCGTCTCAAATAGAGGTCCCTTGATCAATCGTAATTGTTTAATCAGGCCATTATCGATCCACCGCTGGATGAAGGCCCGTCCCAAGCCGCCGTCTTAACGCGCCGAGCTCCTGGCACGCGTGCACCTCGGACCCCCCACCCCCCCCCCCACACCGCTCCCTGTGTGAAACAGACACCGGCTGCTCCGTGCGACTTCTGCTTGCTCATTCATTCTCACTCTCATCACCGAACCCTCCCCCCCCCATATTTTCCCATAGGCCCTTATTTAAAAACCGATTCCCCACGGTTGGTGAGGGATTACTAAATAGTTCTAGATTTGAAGCTTTCGTGACTGCAAGGATTTATACTCTTAGGTTTTTTCGGTAAAGTCACGTAGGTAAAAATGAATACAAATAATAATAGAAATAAAATAAAATTAATAAAAGTAATAATAGAAATAAAATCAAAATCACGACGTTTCGGAGGCAACACAAGTCTCCGTCATCAGGTGTGACCATCACAGCACGATTAGCTGTATCAAGTGATATCAAGTGATACAGTAAATTTTAGCTGTGACGGTCCCATCTAATGACGGAGACTTGCGTTGCCTCCGAAACGTCGTGATTTATTATTTTATTTCTATTATTACTTCTATTAATTTTATTTGTATTATTTTTTACCTACGTGACTTTACCGAAAAAAACCCTAAGAGTATTACTAAATAGCTCAGTTGGCCTCACCTGGTAAAATATATTGTTTTAGTTAATAGCGGTGGTGCTTGCTTATTCATTCTCCCTCTCTTCCCTCCCCTCTCATCACCTCACCCACCCCCCCTATTTTACCAGAGGCCCTGTACTGAACTACCTGCGGATTTTGGCTACCACGGCCTTATCCAGGAATCTCACCCCCACGGTTAGTGAGGGATTACAAAATATCTCAGTGGGCCTTACCGGGTCAAACATGATGCCTTGAATAAAGGTGTCAGTTTTGTACCAGTTTAAAAGGGTAAAAACCTACTACTATATTTTGCCACTGGTAAAAGAGCTCTCAATACTCTGATATTGCACTGTGTTTGAGTTGTACGCCTTCTGGTGTCATCTGGTCCAACACCAATGGGGAATAGACTCTAAAGAAATCCGTCTCGGATGTGGACCAATCAACTTCAAGGACAGTGCATATTATTATCATTATCAGAGTTGCTTCTTTTTGTTTGCTTTTTTGACTACTCGTGTTGTGGTTATTGCAAACATGATGCCTTGAATAAAGGTGTCAGTTTTGTACCAGTTTAAAAGGGTAAAAACCTACTACTATATTTTGTTCAGTTTATAGCGATGGTGCTTGCTCATTCATTATCCCGCTCTTCACTACTCTCTCATCATCACCTACCCCTTCTATTTTCCCAGAGGCCCTGTACTGAACCAACCACAGATTTGCCTACCACTTGGCAATATCCAGAAACCTCACCCCTCCCCCCCCCCTGGTTGGAGGGATTACTACAAAGCTCTGCGGTGGCTCAGTGGGTCTTACCCAGGACAATCTTTTTTTAAATCCTTTATATTAAGTTCACTTGCTTGCTTGCGCGCTTACGACCGTGCAAATCTTTCGGTCGTTTTTTAGCCCACTTCCCGTGATCCAATTGAGCCGACATTTTGCACACAAGACTCGTTGTGCGTGACAATTTATTTTCGTGAAATTTTTTGTTCAAAAATTTTACACTTTTTAGGAAAAAATAAATTATATTTAATTACCAATTGCTTAATGGTGGCAGGCAATCATCTGACCCATAGGTGGCAGCCATCTCTAGCCAGAGGACGAGAGGACTCTAGCCGCCACGCATATAAAGGATTTATAGTGAAAAACTTTGTTTTTACGGGTTAATTTTTTAGTTTATAGCGTTCACCTAAAACCATAAAAAGCAACATTTTTTGAGAGCCGCATTTTTGGTGCCAGTTTGTCATCCTTCCCCTGCCCCGCATCTCCGACAAACACGGGTTGGCCGCGTACGGCGCTAAAGACACAAATTCAACACACGCACAACTCATGATGAGACCTCCTTTGCCAGTAGCAAGGTATAGTAATAGGGTTTTACCCTTTTCACTGGCGACGCACCATCAGAGAGATGGTGCGTCGTCTCTGAGTTGTGCGCCTTTTGGCGTCATCTGGTCCAACACCATGTGAGACGAGGCTCGAAGAAAAGCTGTCTCGGGTGTGGACCAATCAATTTCATTATCAGAGTTGTGTTTTTGTTTGCATTTTGACCGCAAGTGTTGTGGTTAATGCAAACATGATCCCTTCTATAAAGGCGTCAGTTTTGTTGTCAGTTAAAAGGGTAAAAACCTATGACTACACGCACAACTCATCCCCGACATCTCGGCGCCGTCATTCTTTCTCTGCTGCCCGGCGCTCTTTCCCAATGCCGATCGTCTTGAGCCAGAGGTCGCAACCGGGTACCCGATACCCGTACCCTACCCGATACCCGGCTACCCGTACCCGGCCAGATACGTGTACCCGTTTGCAACCCTGGTGCGGCCGGGTACGGGTAGGCCGTGAGTCACTGGTGAGTAACTGTTTGTCACTCATTTCCCAACGTCTTGTCTCTTCTCACATTTCAAGTTCCTAGAATCAACCCACCCACGCCTGCAACATGGCTTCATCACAGAGGTCGCAATCAGGTACCCAATACCCGTACCCTACCCGATACCCGGCTACCCGTACCCGGCCAGGTACGAGTACCCGTTTGCGACCCTGGTGCGGCCGGGTACGGGTAAGGAATCAAAACCCGTTTGCGACCTCTGTCTTGAGCCCTTCCCCCGATTTGCCCATCTTCGGGACCAGGGTTGCGATTTCCGCATGGAAAATGCGGAAGGAGGGTTCAAATTTTCCCGCATTTTTGGTAAAGTCAACCGCAAACGGTGGAAAGACTACTCCTATGACCGCGCGCTTTTAACAACACGTTAATGCGTTCTATTGGAAAGGATACATCATGTACATGTGCTCGTAATCACGGCTCCGCATTTGAATAAAGTATGTGGTTCTTGTGCGGAAATCATATATTCATTCCAATCAGTAACTCAAAGCCCTACGTGATGCTGGGCCTTGCATGTATCCTTTCCAATAGAACGCATTAACGTGTTGTTAAAAGCGCGCGGTCATAGGAGTAGTCTTTCCACCGTTTGCGGTTGACTTTAGCAAAAATGCGGGAAAATTTGAACCCTCCTTCCGCATTTTCCATGCGGAAATCGCAACCCTGTTCGGGACCTCTGCATCCCTTCCCGCTCTCTTGCTCCACACCTTTTCTCTTCCCTCCCCTCTCACGATCACCCTCTCATCCTTGACACCTCGACTCTCTCTCTCTTCCACCACTTCCCCGTCGGGTGTGCCACGGGTGAAATTTACGGGCGTGCCGTTTCAACACGCGCGCGCGCGCGCACACACACATAAAACGACAGCTTACATTGGCAAGAGCGCACGCCTGCAATAATTTATTGGCAAGCCAAGGAACTCGGGCTCCCAGGAGCCTTGCATCAGGTCCAGTATTCAAGCCGACAGTGTCACAATGTTCAGAAAGACCCATAAATACAAAAAAATAAATACTGCATCTTAAAATGGTATTAAGGGTCTACGACTCCACGACTTACAAAAACAGAATACGGAGTGGTTCCCTAGATCGAGCGCAGTGATGCAGAGAGGGAGGCCCTGTTACAGATCGAGGTTATAAGGGCAAAGCTTTTAATGTCTCAATGATTTTTTTCCTTTGTTTTGGCCATTAGACCAACTGGAGTGGGTGGGTGGGCTGGCTGGCAACGTGAAGAGCCGTAGCCACAGGCATTGCTTCGTCATAAAAGCTGTTTGATTTCAGCGGCCGCCCTGGTTAATGCTGTGCGTGTGTATCAACCGCAATAATCCCGTGGCGGCCGTGACGTTCTCAAGAGTGTAGAGGCCACGCTTGTCCCGGCACCGTGCTATGGATTTGAAACTCGGGTCAGAAAAATTGCCCAATTGGGATAAAACCACGAAGCGACGCGGCCTTCTCCTGGCAGACGATGCTACGCGCCTGAGAAACATCGGACCTTCATGATGGCCTTCATGCACTTAGCATGGCGGCGACTGCCACGTGCACGAATCCATTGTGGTGGAAAAAAAAAAAGGTAAACTGGATGCGGTTGTGCCGGTTTTCTTGAAATATTTTTCCCGGGTCGCTGACCTCGACAGCCACGGCTGAATTGAATCCCTGCCGAGGGAGTTCTTTACACGAGGGGGTTCTCACTCAGTGCTACACCTTGAGTCGGGGGGGGGGGGTGTATGGAGGGGGTCTCACCCCAGCTCTGCAGGCGACCGCTGCCCAAGCCGCGGCACCATTGCCCTGTCCCGAACTTTGAACTTTCAACCGGGAAGCTCTCTGCATCACCGCCGTGTGCACGCAAGCACGCGCGCCCCTCCCCAGCTCGGTTGCGTGAACCCTTGGCGCATGAGCTTGACAGCCAAGTGCTACAATGACTGGCGTCGACATTGTAAGTCCTTGCTAGGGCTGGCGGTCTCGTCGTCGCCGACGACGACGACGACCTGCGGACGTTCACTATCAAGCCTTGGGGCATGACCCCGTGTTGATTTTTTTAGTTCATTTCTTTTAACAACGGATGAAAGACCAGAGCTCAAACTCCCTCGCAGGTCGTCTCACACTTGGTGGCAAGGACGTCGGACGCCAAATAAAATCGGTTGCGTAAAAATGATCTCACCCTCGATGTCGGGTTCTGTAAAACACGGCGCGGTTCTAATCGTATCAGCGGGTGCCGTCCACCAGCACGCAAACGACAGTATGGCCACGGGGCACCGCGATGTCTTCCCGACGTCCCCCGTCGCGCTCCACGCGCTGGGGAGATTCTTCGGAGGTCAATTAAATAATTTGTGCTCCCCGAAGACGCTCTCCCCGCCCCCCCCCGCCCAGCACGTGAGGCTCCCCGAGCTAATTTAGAATCTCCCAACGAACACAAAATAAATAGCCCACACAACCATGTAACGCGATGTGGGGGGAGCGGGGTCAAACATCCCAACGCTGAACAAAAATTACCCCCCAACTACTCGGTTGGGATGACACGCAGCAGCAGCAGCAGAATCAGCATCGTGGCCCCTTGTGGAAACTCAGCAGGACCCCCCCCCCCCCCCCCCTTTTGAATAAAGAACATTGAGAATTCCGTGAGGACTTTTGCGGGCGCACACGCGCACACACACACGCACGGACGCACACGCGCGCACACACGCACACACGCACGTACGCACGCACACACGCGCACACACGCACGCACACGCACGCACACACACGTACGCACGCACACACGCACACGCGCGCACACACGCACACACGCACACGCGCGCACGTACGCACGCACACACACACACGCAGCGTGGCGGCGAGACCGGCACAACCCGGTCAGCACAACGCGGGAGAGTTGCGCGGCACGACCGAGAAATCCTCTGCAGCGTTTCCCTGCACCGACGTTCCAATTCGGTTGTCAAGTTCATGGCCGGAGACCGCACAGAGCGTGCGGGGGGGGGTGGGTGGGGGGCGCTTTTAGCACAAAGGGGGGGCAGCATTTAACGTAAACGCTGCCCCGCCCCGGTCAATGATTTCGTTGTGTCGATGGCAAACACAATCGCTACTCCTAACAGCCTCTCCGTAGTCGCCACGGTTGTTTGGCGTGGGGCCGGGATTCTCGGCGCACGTGACGGTGCGTGGTGCGTGTTGTGTGTTGTGTGTGTTGAAGCGTGGCAATCGGTGCCAAGTCGTATGGCAAACAGCATTCCGAGCAATGAGAGCAGCGTGCGGCGGTGTCGAAGAGCGGTGCGCCAAGTAGTGTGGTAAACAGTGCGCCGGCTGGCATGGTAAACAGTGCGCCAACATTGCGGCGTGGCGCGGGGAGCGGTGAAAGTGCTGGTGGTGTGGCGCTCGCGGTGGGAACGGCTCTGACACCACACGCGCGCCGCCACCCTATCGAGTCACCGCCTTATCGGCGTACAACCGCGTCGGCTACGGCTTTGACGCCACGCCAACCGCACCACGCACCGTGCCGGCGACCGCCTCGAAGCCGCGTGCCGTGTGCCGCGCCGAGCCGAGCGCTCGCGGGGAAAAAACTTTGCCGTGGGCGTGGGGGCTCGCCGTGGCCGGCGCCGTGAGCCTAGAAGGAGGTCCCGGTGGCTGCGGCCGCCCCGGAGATGGCGCTCTTGAGCTCGTGCATGCTGCCGCACGCCGTCGCCGCCAGCTCCTCGATCTCCACGTTGATCTTGCCGATGACCCACTCCATCGCCTCGCGGCCCTGCGAGACGCGCGCCGTCGACACGCACGCGCGCACACGCACACACGCACGCACACACACGCGCGCACGCACATGCCGCCATCACCACGGCGGCCACCCCACACGGCAAGGCGTTAGCAACAGGCGGTCTGTGTGGGTTTCGCACGTGTGTTTGCGCGCGTTTGCCTTGCATGTACGCGCGCGTGGCAGCGAATGCGTGCAGGCGTATGTGCGTGCGTCCGTGTGTCTCGCGCGTGCGAGTTTGTGCGTGTGTGCGTGCGTGCCACCTCCGCCCCCACCTAACAACACTCGCGAGCGCGCGCGGGGGTCGTAATCGTTTCAAGGCGGTTGTCGTTAGGCGCTCGCCAATCGCCGGCAGCGCCACGCAGCAGCCAGCGCTTTCAACCGCTTTGAACCGGACACGGACGCCTGATTACGCACACGTGCAAACCGTGCTTTTAACCGTTTTAACACTTTGTTGGAGTATTGAGTCATAACGATAATCATTAGGGAGGGAGGGGGGGGGGGTAACATTACCCCCAAAACACTCCCTCCGCCCCCCCTCCCTCCTGCTTCCCTCCCACCCCAGCGATTCGCCAATTTGTCCAGATTCGATTCCGAGTTGACGTTGAGGTGGACGCGGGCAAACTCGTCAAGAGACCACATTCAGACTGCGCCAGTCGGGGAACATCAGCGACACCACCTTCCTCTAAAGGCGATGGTGAAGCAATCACTCCCGAGAAAAGGGGGGGGCAGGTTGGTGGTTGGGGGGCAGGTGGGGGGAGGTGGGCGCAGGTATAATTCTGGGTATCGGCGAAGGTGGCGGTGACAAGATGGAGGAGGCCACATGGGTGGGACACTGGACAAGGCAAGAGCTCGGCACAGGGTTCACTGGGCACATGCGGGAGAGGAACGCCTCTTCTTTCCACCGTCACTTGGGAGCCATGCCGGCACGGGGCCATCACGGCAAGGGGTGGTTTTTCCACTGCCGAGGCGAACCGAACCGAACAGGCCTTGCGACAAGTCCAAATCAGACTCGGGGCTGGGCAAGGACAGCGTGTGCGCTGTCTGCGACGTTGGTGGCACGGTTCGGCTACGGCAGTGGAAAAACGTCGCCGGTACCGAACGAGCTACACCGGGGGCTGGCTCGGCATGGCACCGGCGTGGTTCGGTTGTGCGGTGGAGAGAAAAAAAGAAAAGAGGTAAACGGTGGAGCATTGCGGAAGGAAGCCTCATGCACATCCATAGAAACAGGGCCCTGCCTCCAGCAGTCAATGGCGAGATGTTTATTTCATTTTACTTTTATTAATTTAATTTTTTTATCTACGTGACTCTACCGAAAAAACCTAAGAATATGAGATGTTAACTACCTCGCCTGGTATGCAGGAGGTCGTGGGTTTGATCCCGACCCTGATGACGCCTGCTGTATATTTTGAGTTTGCGTCTCTCTCTCATCATCATCACGGTGGCTCGGAGATGTTAACTACCTCGCCTGGTATGCAGGATGTCGCGGAGTTTGCATGTTCTCCCCATGGTATTTTCTCCGGGTCCTCCCATTTTCCCCTCCAGATTTAGAAACGTACGTTTAGAGTGTTTGGCTGCTGTAAATTTCCACGTGATAAGCCACTTTGTTGAGCAATCATTTGTGACAGCCAGGTCGCTTCTGAAAAAGAGCAATATAGCTCAGTGGGGGCCTTTACCTGGTAAAATAAAATAGTTAATAGATTTTATTCAACAGATCCCCACGGGATTAATAATATCAGCCGGGTGTGTCACGGGTCGGCGAGCATGAGTTTTTCCTTACCCAGCACACCACATCCAGAACCAGCTCTCACTTTGGCTGCGGCCACCACTTACGAGTGAAGCGTGCCACCGACCGGTAATCTATGTGCGACCCGACAAAAAATTGTCGGCGAGCAAATTGAAACCAACAGATTTACACATTGAGACCCGAACACTCGGGTCGAGAGACCCATCGATTTACACGGCCTAAATCTCCGCCAAGTCTGTGCGGACAATAGTTCCGCAGCCGGCACACATCGTGCAGTACGCCTACTCGTCCAGTTAGTCTGTCAACGACCTGGCGCAAGATTCAGTTTAGACAAATTAATCCCCGAGACCATCACAAGAAAGCATGGAAGGGTGGCAGCCACACTGCAGACAGAGCAACTGACCGAACCTTCTGCCCGCACACACTGCACACGAGTGCACACACCACACACGCTACAACACACACACGCACAAACACACACGCGCGCACGTGCGTGCAATAACTACAGCGGCGGTGGCATGGCGAACGATGGAAGCGATGCCCAGTGTGCGTACAGGAGACAAGAGTCGTTACCCCATCAGCGAGTAACAGCCGCAGGGAATAGCGATGTGGCTAACTAACGGCAGGGCCTGCATTGTGTATTGTCCACTCAATAGCGTCCCACCCCTGCGGAGACAGGACAGCAGCCCCGCGCCGGTTATCGGACGCTCGCCGTTGCGACGCGATCACTCGTCACACTGCAAGAGCCGGTCGGCAAAAATTCACGACGAGTGTTGGAGGGCGGTGGCGGCGGTGGCCGCGTTTCACCTTTTTGGCGTTTGCCGAGATGGTGCTGGCCATGAGTCCTTCCAGGTAGCTGCCTAAGCTCACGCCCTTCACGGAGATGATGGCTTCCTGCACGAGCATCGTCCTGCACGCGCGCACACAGCACACGCACGCGTGTATAACGACAACAACGGGCGTTCGCCACTCAGCGGCGGTGACGTCACCACGGCGCTTGTGCCAAGCTAGGTGGACTTTTTGAGAGCACGTGAAGTGTCGAAGGCCCCCGCTGGCAGGAGGTATAGCACACACAGGAAGTACACAAAGCAAGCAGCACACATATAAACAAAGCAGACAGCGCGCACACAGTACGCGCACAGCACACGTACAGCACAGCAATTGCACAGTACGCACAGTACACATGCAGCACACACGACAGTCAGCACAGCACATATACAAGCCAAGCAGCACACACATTGTGCATAAGCAGCCCAGTGCAGCGCAGTAAACAAAGCAGACAGCACACACACAGTACGCGCACAGCAATTGCACAGTACACATGCAGCACACACGACAGTACAGCACACACGTGTACAACGCACATATACAAGCCAAGCAGCCCAGTGCAGTGCAGTAAACAAAGCAGACAGCGCGCACACAGTACGCACACAGCACAGCAATTGCACAGTACACGTGCAGCACACACGACAGTACAGCGCACACGGTACAAGCAGTGCACGCTCGTAGCGCAGAGAAAGCGCAGGCCGCATGCCGGACGTCGGGCTTACTTCTCGGCATCGTCAGGGTGCGGCTTGTACACGAGGCGCTCGTCCACCGACACGAGGTTTGTGAGCGTGATCTGCAGAACGGCAGCAACGACAACACAAATACAACTATGAGACATCTCCTTTACCAGTGGCAAAATATAGTAGTAGGTTTTTACCCTTTAAACTGGTACAAAACTGACACCTTTATGCAAGGCATCATCGTCTTGGTTCTTTCGGTAAAGCCACGTAGAAGGGAAATAATAAAATAATAAAAATAAAACATAATAATATAATTCTCACGACGTTTCGGCCACAACGCAAGCAGCCGTCCTCAGGTGGACAGACCTGTTCTTCACCTGAGGATGGCTGCTTGCGCTGTGGCCGAAACGTCGTGAGAATAATTTAATTTTTATTATTTTATTATTTTCCTTCTACGTGACTTTACCGAAAGAACCAAGACGATGAATCCCTGCAGTCACGAAAGCTTTAAATCGAAAAATACAAGGCATCATGTTTGCAATAACTGCAACACAAGCAGCCAAAATGCAAACAAAAAGAAACAACTCTGATAATGGTAATGACAGTGCATATCATTACCATTATCAGAGTTGTTTCTTTTTGTTTGCATTTTGACTGCTTGTGTTGCAGTTATTGCAAACATGATGCCTTGTGTAAAGGTGTCAGTTTTGTACCAGTTTAAAGGGTAAAAACCTACTACTAAAACAAATATCAACTTTTTTTTTTTGAGCAGAAAAAACCCACCGAACTGTACAGCTCTTTTTCAGAAGCAACCTGGCCACAAATGATAGCTCAACGAAGTGGCTCATCACGTGGAAACGTATAGCAGCAGAATACCCTAAAAGCGTGACGTTGATTCTAAATGTGGAGGGAAAAAGCGGAGGACCCGGAGAAAAACCCACGCGACGACAGAGAGAGACACGCAAACTCCAAATATACAACAGGCGTCAGGGTTGGGCATTAATTCTAGATTTGAAGCTTTCGTGACTGCAAGGATTCATATTCTTAGGTTTTTTCGGTAAAGTCACGTAGGTAAAACATTTTAATTAATAAAAGTAAAATAAAATAAAAATCACGACGTTTCGGAGGCAACACAAGCCTCCGTCTTCAGGCTTGTGTTGCCTCCGAAACGTCGTGATTTTTATTTTATTTTACTTTTATTAATTTTAATGTTTTACTTACGTGACTTTACCGAAAAAACCTAAGAATATGTCAGGGTTGGGATCGAACCCACACGGCCTTGTATACCAGGCGAAGGAGATCACATCTCACGAGGGTGGAGCGCACACCACGGACCCCAGTACTGCTGTGTTCACAAGCGTATCGGTGGGTTTAATTCTGTATCTCTGGGATGTACGTCCTGGACCAGTTGAGCGATTGTTTGTTTTTTTACATAAATGTAAAACCGTTAAAACATTTTCAGGAATGAATCTATTTTCGTTTTAGATGTGACATAATTAACATTTAATATTGAAAACTCAATTTGTTACGTGATCGCTTGTTTTCGCCGATGTGATTTTCTCCCTCGGAAGTGTTTAGCCGACCGACAATAATCGATCTTCTTGGTTATTTCGGTAAAGTCACGTAAAATGGAAATAATAAAATAATAAAAATAAAACATAATAAAATAATTCTCACGACGTTTCGGCCACAACGCAAGCAGCCGTCCTCAGGTGAAGAACAGGTCTGTCGGAAAGACAGCGTCTGAATTCATTCAGACGCTGTCTTTCCGTCTGAATTCATTCAAACGCTATCTTTCCGACTGAATTCATTCAGACGCTGTCTTTCCGACAGACATGTTCTTCACCTGAGGACGGCTGCTTGCGTTGTGGCCGAAACGTTGCGAGAATTATTTTATTATGTTTTATTTATTTTATTTTATTATTTCCCTTCTACGTGACTTTACCGAAAGAACCAAGAAGATGAATCCCTGCAGTCACGAAAGCTTTAAACCGACAATAATCGAGTTTCAATAAACACTGTTCCCACCGCTGCGACGGGAGACGATTAAAAAAAACTCACGTTTGTCGACTTTAACTCCATCGTCCTCTGGGTTGGGTTCACGATCGAATGTTCCTTGACGTAGGTTTTGGTTCTGCCCGTTCCTAAGAGCTGCAAAACAACAACACGTACGCTCACACTCCCGCTCAATCTATTCACCACAAGGCTTGCGCCAGGCTAGGTGCACTTTGAATCTGTCGCATGTAAGTGTGGAAGCCTCTCGCTGCTGGCAGGAGGTCACGGGACAGACCCAGCAGGTGCCGTGGGGTCGACTGACTGAGATGACCGGCAGAGGCACCACGTGTGCCCCCCTACTGTGCAACTTGCTGTGTTTTTAGTCGCCCAGTGCTACGCTCGTTGTTGTGACCGTCGCTGCTCCGCCCTCCTGCCCAGCAGCATCCTTCATGAGCCTCCTACACAGAGGCCAATCTTGACACAAGAATGCGATCACAAGATTGTGATCGGATTCCGCGTGCGCACGCACGCACGTGACGTGTACACACACATCTCACGCGACGTGTACACACACACCTCACGCGACGTGTACACACGGATCTTACACGCCACGTGTACGCACGCATCTCTCACGCGACGTGTACACACGCATCTCACACAACACGTACACACGCACGTGACGTGTACACACGCATCTCAGACGTGACGTGTACACACACATCTCACGCGACGTGTACACACACATCTCACGCGACGTGTACACACACATCTCACGTGACGTGTACACACGCATCTCAGACGTGACGTGTACACACGCATCTCACGTGACGTGTACACACACACCTCACGTGACGTGTACACACGCATCTCACGCCACGTGTACACACACACCTCACGTGACGTGTACACACACACCTCACGTGACGTGTACACACGCATCTCACGCCACGTGTACACACACATCTCACGTGACGTGTACACACACATCTCACGCGACGTGTACACACGCATCTCACGTGACGTGTACACACACATCTCACGCCACGTGTACACACACATCTCACGTGACGTGTACACACGCATCTCACGTGACGTGTACACACACATCTCACGCCACGTGTACACACACATCTCACGTGACGTGTACACACGCATCTCACGTGACGTGTACACACGCATCTCACGTGACGTGTACACACACATCTCACGCGACGTGTACACACACATCTCACGCGACGTGTACACACGCATCTCACGCGACGTGTACACACGCATCTCACGTGACGTGTACACACGCATCTCACGTGACGTGTACACACGCATCTCACGTGACGTGTACACACAAATCTCACGCGACGTGTACACACTCATCTCACGCGACGTGTACACACACATCTCACGTGACGTGTACACACTCATCTCACGCGACGTGTACACACTCATCTCACGTGACGTGTACACACACATATCACGTGACGTGTACACACGCATCTCACGCGACGTGTACACACGCATCTCACGGGACGTGTACACACACATCTCATGCCACGTGTACACACACATCACACGCCACGTGTACGCACGCATCTCACGCGACGTGTACGTACGCATCTCACGCGCCACGTGTACGCACGCACGTGACGTGTACACACGCACGTGACGTGTACACACGCACGCCACGTGTACACACACGCATCTCACGCGCCGTGTACGTACGGATCTCACGAGGCTGGGCAGGCCCCACTCGGTGCTGAGCAGGCGGTGTGAGTGTAGCTGCCCGGCCGCGTCCACGTGCCGCCCCACCACGTCCACCCCCACCACGCTCGGGTTCATCGGGTTCGGGTACTTGCGCATCGCCGCCTGCGTCACCGTCTCCCACGGGTGGCTGCTCACACAAAGACAAAGATCCCCCGTGTAGCCTCGACAGACCGTTGGGGCAAGTGCTGTTAGCGAGCGGCACCGATGAAGGCCGGAACGGCACACGAGGGGGTGGGTGGCCAGAACCACGCCCGACCGCCTTTGTCTCCCCAGTGGCGATGTTTACACACCGCACCAGGTACTCATTTAGAGGCTGAGTCTACCCAGGGGAGGCCCAGGACTGGCTCAGAATAACCGTCACTGTGGTGTTTGGCCGTGAGCGGGAATCGAACTCGGGTCGCCGGGTTCGTCGTGCAGCGAGCGGCACCGATGAAGGCCGGCACACGAGGGGGTGGCTCGAATGACTACCCCCTGGTGTGCCGTGCCGGCCTTCATAGGCCTCATTTGGTTAAAATGTTCGCCACTTACATCATTGGAACCTCATTTGCCGGTAAAAAATATGATAATAGTTTTTTTACCCTTCTATCTGGAAACAAAACTGACACCTTTTTTTTTACTGGCAAATGAGGTTCCAATGGTGTAAATGCTTACCCCGAGCTCTCATACTCTGATGGTGCATTGTCTTTGAGTTGTGCGCCTTTTGGCGTCATCTGGTCCAACCCAGGTGAGACTAGGCTCTAAGGAAAGCTGTCTCGGGTGTGGACCAATCAACTTCAAGGACAGTGCATACATTATCAGAGTTATGTCTTTTGTTTGCATTATGACTGCAGGTATTGTGGTCTATGCAAACATGACTCCTGGTAAAAAAGGTGTCAGTTTTGTTGCCAGATAGAAGGGTAAAAAAACAATTATCATGTTCGCCGCTGTTAATTGTAGCGAGCGCGAATCGAACTCAAGTTGCCGGGTTCGTAGAGCAGTGCGCTTACCACTGCACCATCGCGTGTCCTCACACACACACGGAGACAAACTCGCACATGTACACACACACAGGCATGCACAGAGGCACGTACAAATACAAAGATCCCCCCGTGTAGCCTTAACAGACTGTAGGGGCAAGCGATGTTAGCGAGCACCTACCAAGGCCGGCACGGCACACGAGGGGGTGGCGATGTTTACACGCTGCACTAGGCACAGTACTCATTTCAGGCTGAGTCGACCTAGGGGAGGCCCAGGACCGGTTCAGATAATAATCGCCGCCGGTGTCGGCCGTGAGCGGGAGTTGAACCCGTGCGGCCGGGGTTCGTAGCGCTAACCGCTGCGCCACCGCTCCCCTAACCGCCGCACACACAGCCCAGCATGTGCACGCACACAGCCAGGTCAGGGACAATGATGGTGGGGGGAGGGGGGACAGACAAGTAGGGGGGGGGGGAGGTGAGAGGGGTGGTGTCGTAATGGGAGAGGCCACAAGGGGTGGACATTCGATGAGGGTGAGGGGGGGGGGGCAAGGGAGAAGTGGGGGGGGGTGTATGTGGAGGGGGGGGGGCAAGGGAGAAGTGGGGGGGGGTGTATAGGGGGGGGGGTGCGTTGCGACCTTGGGGTGACCCTGTCCTCCTTTGACCCCTCGGCCCCTCCCTCCATCCTCCCATTCCCCCCTCGCCTTAAGACACCGGACCCAATCCTCTAAGCCGCAACCGATTCGATTCGCCGACGCGCAACGCGTTTCGATTCGAGGATCGATGCTTTCACAATAACGACCCCTAAGCGCATGCTGCCGAGGTCAAATGAGGGCCTGCGCACAACGTTCCCACAACGTTGTGGGAACGTTGTTGAAAGGACAAAAAAAAATAGGCGACGTTTCGGTCAATGGGCCTCCCATAATAAAACAAAAACCCGCACGACAAATTTCTCAAAGATTTTTTTACAGATTTTTTTTTGTGTTAGATCGCGTAAAAAATATATAAATGTGTCGTTAAACCCGCCACCACCCGACACGGCCAATGAGTACAGCAACCGGCCGCTGTGTTGGGAGAGTAAATACACATTTACAATTTGCTCTACGCCATCTAACCCAACAAACTAAACCTACATTTTGGATATTGCTCGCGACGGGCCTAACGTGTGAAACTGACGTTCGTCAAGAACACAATCGACGGGTGACGTTTCGGTCAATGGCCCTCTTTCAGTTTCCCTGCGTCAGCTTGTGCGTAACACGATTCAAAGGAATCGACGGAAATCGATTACCACGGAACGATTCGATGTCAACGACCGCTTCGTTTCCCGGTGATTTCACGATTACGGTGGGTGAGCGGTGAATCGACGCAAACGATTCCTGTCACATCCGGCCTCAACGCCGCATTGCTACGGCGTTCAAACACCTTAGACTCGTCGCTATCGTGATGATTATTGTGGTTCTCGTTACTGCCGAGTCCACGAAAGGGTAGCGGGTGATGCCGCCAGAAGCCGCTACAACTAAATTAAAAAAAATTTATGGAGGAATCGATTCCGTTTGAGACGGAATCGATGGCGCGCGAGTGATTGCGTCACTTTCCGTTACGCAACACGGGGGGGGGGGGGGGGCGCGTGGGGACATTGAAGCCCCCGGGAGAGACACTTTGGACCCCTACAGGACCCCTATAGACCCCCTACAGGACCCCTATAGACCCCCTACAGGACCCCTATAGACCCCCTACAGGACCCCTATAGACCCCCTACAGGACCCCTACAGACCCCTATAGACCCCCTACAGGACCCCCTACAGGACCCCTAGACCCCCTACAGGACCCCATATAGGACCCCTACAGGACCCCTATAGACCCCTATAGGCCCCCTACAAGACTCCTATAGACCCCTATGGACCCCTATAGACCCCCCCCCTACCTCACAGATCACCTACACACCCCGTGGGGACACATACAGACCCCCACCGACGCCGCTAGACCCACAGAGACCCACAGAGACCCATGTGTAGCCCGTCACAGACTGTAGGGGCAAGTGCTGTTAGCGAGTAGCGCCTATGAAGGCCGGTGGGGGGCCAACACCACCCCCGGCCGCCTTTGTCTCCCCAGTGGCGATGTTTACACACCGCACACACCAGCTGCGCATTCGAGGCCGAGTCGACCTAGGGGAGGCCCAGAACCGGTTCAAGATAACCATCCAAGGCTTCCTACAATCCTCGTGAAGACCCCCACAGAGTTAGTCCCTTCCCCCCACGTGTACACCCCCAGTCAGGACCCCCGTCTCAAGGGGGTGTTTATGATCCCTCACTTGAATATCGCTGATTGAACCATCGTTTGACCCACCCACCCACCCACACAAATCCCCTATAAACGTCAGCAGCGAGACACCCACCCTGTTGTAAGACCAGTGCACAGCACTTTGCATATCCACCTGGGAAGTTCGTCATGTCCCTGTACAGAAGTCAGCCATATACTGTACCTCCTATGTACCCCAATAGCCTCCCTATAGCCCCCCTCAATTGCACACGTACCCCAATAGAGCCCTGTGATATCCCCTATATACATACACACCCCTGCAGATCCGTCACCTGGACCGTTATAAAATCCCGTTTGACCCCTGTCCTACAAAGGCTTCTGTAAATAAAATCATTGTAAGGCAATAACCACATCAATTTAACACATACTACCCCCCTCCCCCCCGTGTAACCCCCCCTTACAGGCAGCGTGAACATCGCGTTCGCGAGAACATTCCACGCGCATCTCCCTGTGGACAGAGTTGGCGGGGCGTTGGATCCTCGTCACCGGAACACACGCACCCCCCTACGAGACCCCTGCAGGACCCTGACCCCCGATTTAGTTGAACACCCCCCAGTGTTAGACCCCCTACGAGACCCCTGACCCCTGACCCCCCGACTCACGTGAACACACAAACCGCAGTGTTAGCCCCCTACGAGACCCCTGTAGGACCCCTATAAAACCCCCTACAAGATCCCTGCCCCCCGCGACTCACTTGAACACCCCCCAGATGTAAGCCCCCTACGAGACCCCTTTAGAACCCCAGTAAGGCCCCCTATTAGACCCCTGCCCCCCCAACTCACTTGAACACCCCCCCCCCAGTGTGAGCCCCCTATAGAACCCCTGTAAGAACCCCTGTAAGACCCCCTACGAAACCCCTGCCCCCCACGACTCACTTGAACACACACCCAGAGTAAGACCCCTACCAGACCCCTATAGAACCCCTGTAAGACCCCCTATTAGACCCATGCCCCCCCCCCCCGACTCACTTGAACACACACCCCAGAGTAAGCCCCCTACGAGACCCCTGTAAGACCCCTCTAAGACCCCCTACTAGACCCCTGCCCCCCCCGACTCACTTGAACACACACCCCCCCAGTGTGAGCCCCCTACGAGACCCCTATAGGACCCCTGTAAGGCTCCCTACAAGACCCATGCCCCCCCCAACTCACGTGAACACACCCCTCAGAGTAAGCCCCCTACAGAACCCCTGTAAGACCCCCTACTAGACCCCTATAAAACCCCTTTAAGACCCCCTACGAAACCCCTGCCCCCCCCGACTCACTTGAACACACACCCCAGTGTAAGCCACCTACGAGACCCCTACAGAACCCCTGTAAGACCCCCTACGAAACCCCTGCCCCCCCCGACTCACTTGAACACACACCTCAGTGTTAGCCCCCTACTAGACCCCAATAGAACCCCTTTAAGACCCCCTATTAGACCCATGCCCCCCCCGACTCACTTGAACACACACCCCAGATGTAAGCCCCCTACGAGACCCCTATAGAACCCCTGTAAGACCCCCAACGAAACCCCTGCCCCCCCAACTCACTTGAACACACACCACAGTTGTAAGCCCCCTACCAGACCCCTATAGAACCCCTGTAAGACCCCCTATTAGACCCCTGCCCCCCCGACTCACTTGAACACACACCCCAGTGTTAGCCCCCTACGAGACCCCTATAGAACCCCTGTAAGACCCCCTATTAGACCCCTGCCCCCCCGACTCACTTGAACACACACCCCAGTGTTAGCCCCCTACGAGACCCCTGTGAGACCCCTGTAAGACCCCCTATAAGACCCCCTATTAGACCCATGCCCACGCAACTCACTTGAACACACACCCCAGTTGTAAGCCCCCTACAGAACCCCTTTAAGACCCCCTATTAGACCCTTGCCCCCCCCCCCCCCCACGACTCACTTGAACACATGTTCCGAGGTCCAGATTTTCATGGCGACGCTGCTTCTTCTCCCGGCGTAGAGAGGGAGTGGGGGGAGGGGTGGAGGGGCGGGGCGGGGGGCGCGCGCTTCCGCGGCACGTGACCTCGCGTCAAGGAGACAGCCGGCCCGCCAATGGGAAGAGTCGACGAGGGACCACGTGACGAGCGGGTGGCAAAAGTGGGGGAGGGGTGAATGAGGGGGGAGGGGCGAACGAAGGGGAGAGTGACGTCACGCAATTGGAATGTGCCTCGTGATGCACCCCCCCCCCACCGCCGCCAGTGACGTCACGCCAACACGCACTCACACAAATGACCCTGGCGGGCAGGGGTCACTGCGGCAATGGGAGACCAGAACACGCTACTTTCGTTACTCTACCACGTTACTTTCGTTACTCTACGGCGTTACTTTCCATACTCTACCACATTACTTCGAATTATTTTAAACAGTATTTCCGCTACTCTGACGCGTTACTTTCGTTACTCTACCACGTTACTTTCGTTACTCTGCGTCGTTACTTTCCATACTCTACCACGTTACTTCGGATTATTTTAAACGGTATTTCCGCTACTCTGACGCGTTACTTTCGTTACTTTCGTTACTCTGCCACGTTACTTTCCATACTCTACCACGGTACTTCGGATTATTTTAAACGGTATTTCCTCTACTCTGGCGCGTTACTTTCGTTACTATATCACGTTGTTTTCGTCACTATGTCACGTTACTTTCGTTACTCTGTCACGTAACTTTCGTTACTGTCACGTTACTTTCCATACTCTTGTCACCTTACTTCGGTTCATTTTAAACGATATTTCCGCTACTCTGCCATGTTACGTTCATTACTCTACCACGTTACTTTCGTTACTCTACCACGTTACTTTCCATACTCTACCACGTTACTTCGACTGCTGACAGTTGTATTTTGGAGTATTTAATATTCATTTGGTGTTCTTTTAGTCTCATGCTGATCATTCGTCCTGTTTGCCCAACACAGCATTTGCCACAAGTGCAGTTAATCCGGTACACACCTTCTGTTGATAGCTTCGGTAATACATCTTTTCTACCAGATATTAATTTCTGTATTTTATGTACCGTGCCAAATCTGACTCGGATGTTTTGTTTTTCCCAACATCTGGCTAGTTTATCAGTTACTCCCGCAATGCACGGTATTTTGATCGTTTTCATTACTTGGGCAGTTTCAAGGCTCGTGTTGTTTGATTTTGTTTTGGCATTCAATGCCCTGTTGATTTGTGCATTATTGTAACCGTTCATTTGCAGCGCTTCTTTAACATGTTTAATTTCACTTCTCAGACTGTCACCATCTGACACTTTCTTACCCCGATGAATGAGCGTCTTGATAAGAGCAGATTTCTATGCCGGGTGATGGTGTGACTGCATTCAGATAGGCATCAGTATGAGTTTTCTTTCAGTAAACGCTGTGTTATTTTACCATTTTGACCCCGTCTGAGCAGAATATCCAGAAATGGTAGAGTTCTGTCAGCTTCCACTTCCACGGTGAACTGGATGGATGGGTCTTCTTGGTTCTTTCGGTAAAGTCACGTAGAAGGGAAATAATAAAATAATAAAAATAAAACATAATAAAATAAACATGATAAAATATGAATGGGTTTTGCGAGTTGAGATAATTTAGAAATTCGTTCAATGTATCTTTGCCCTGTGGCCAGACCACCAATGTGTCATCCACATATCTAAACCAAGCAGAGGATTTTAGTGTGCTTGAAGCTATTGCTTTTGTTTCAAAATCTTCCATGTACAAATTCGCTATCACAGGAGACAAAGGAGAGCCCATTGCTGCCCCTTCCTTTTGTTTACAGAAGTCACCTTTCCACAAGAAATAGGTGTTCTTCACTCTGCCATGTTACTTCGGTTAATTTTGAACGATACTTCCGTTACGCTTGACACGTTCCTTCCGTTCAGTTTACCGTCATGTTTCAATGGTCCTTACGTTTTGAAATCACAGCCTATTTGTGCTTTTGACGAATGTGTTGAGTTGATTTTTTAATGGGGCTGATGTTTGCCTTTCAAGTGACCCCCACTCACTCACCCTCGGATGAGGGGGTAATTCTTGAATCCCTAACGGTTCCCTCCCTTCTATCCCATCACCTCCTGCTCTCACATCGGCCGCTAACACATAGCACCATGCTTTTGTCATCACCATCGTGGTTTATCCATTTGTAATAACAGCCATAGAGGATTCACGTGGGGATTGGCTTGCCGGTCCTGCTTTGTAGCCAATAAGGGATGAGCCAGGGAGCATGGCCTCGGCGTGATCGCGGCATGTTAGCAGGGGTGATTGGCTTGGTCAATTGGGGCCTCAGCTAATGGGGAGCCGGATCAGAGGCGTGGTCCCGGGATTGACAGGGAACCATCTGGAACGGTAAACGCTGTCCATGAAGGATTGGCTGGGGGGTACCACGTGACGGAGGGATTAAGAGGGAAAGAGAGGGAGCGGTCGTGAGCAGACTTGGGAACGGGAAGAGCGGGAGTCACGCGCGTACGGGGGCTCTGGGTGCCACGTGCGCGGTGGGGACTTAGCGAGAAGTCTGCCCGCTCTCCGTTGTCTGCCAGCAACGGAGAGTGTGTGAGTAAAGTGTAACTGTGGAAGTTGACAATAAAAAGGACCGATTCCAGAAGCCGTCTCAAGAAGGTTATTACACATTGCTGGATGAAGAATAATAGGATGTAATTAACATCTCCGTGCGTCTTTGTAAATTGCACCCATAGTAAAAAAAACAAGTTTCAAAGGGCATAGTTTTAATGCCAGGGGACCCCCAAGTGGTAGCTTTCCCCACGTGGCACAAGCTGAACACAGAAATGGCCTGCAAAGTGGTCATTAGTTTGCCAGAACTGTGGGTCTGAGTGTCATGGTCTACGTAGGTTTATGTGTCTCTATATAACCCAGGTCACCCTTTCTAGTAGCAAGTTGTTTCATGTGTATCGATTGATTTGTTTCATCATTAGAACCTCCTTTGCCAGTAGCAAAATATGATAATTGATTTTTTACCCTTTTATCTGTCAACAAAACTGACACCTTTTCAATGGTGTAAATGCTTACCCCGAGCTCTCATACTCTGATGGTGCATTTTCTGTGAGTTGTGCGCCTTTTGGCGTCATCTGGTCCAACACCATATGAGATTAGGCTCTAAGAAAAGCTGTCTCGGGTGTGGACCAATCAATTTCAAGGACAGTGCATACATTATCAGAGTTGTGTTTTTGTTTGCATTCTGACCGCAGGTATTGTGGTCAATGCAAACATGACTCCTTGTAAAAAAAGGTGTCAGTTTTGTTACCAGATAAAAGGGTAAAAAAACAATTATCATTTGTTTCATCTCCTGTTTAAATAAAGGATACCATACAACAATGTGTCACTATGTGAATCTATAGGTTCCGATGTAAATCTAAGAGTCTATGAGCATGAGTCTGCCAGTAGGGGGCTGTGGGTTTCTATTTGAGTCTAAGTGTACTACACTAAACTTTTTTTATTTTACCAAGTGAGGCCATCTGAGCGATATAGCTCTTTTTTCATAAGCAACCTGGCCACAAATGATAGCTCAACGAAGTGGCTTATCACGTGTAAATTTATAGCATCAGCCAAATACTCTAAACGTATGTTTATAAATGTGGAGGGAAAAACCTGAGGACCCGGAGAAAAATCCACGAGACCACGGGGAAAAAATACAAACTACCTACATCTCGCCACCGTGTCTCTATGCGAGTCTAAGTCTGTGAGTGGGTGAGTGAATGCGTGGGTATGAGCAGTGTCAATTTATCCTAGTAGCAAAAGCAGCTACATATGCTACTGGCCCCGCACTTTCAAGGGCCCCGCGCTAAATGATGTGGTACAGCAGAAGGGATGGATTGATGTGGTACAGCAGAAGGAGGGATGGTTTGATGTGGTACAGCAGAAGGGATGGATTGATGTGGTACAGCAGAAGGGATGGATTGATGTGGTACAGCAGAAGAAGGGATGGTTTGATGTGGTACAGCAGAAGGGATGGATTGATGTGGTACAGCAGAAGGGATGGATTGATGTGGTACAGCAGAAGAAGGGATGGTTTGATGTGGTACAGCAGAAGGGATGGATTGATGTGGTACAGCAGTAGAAGGGATGGTTTGATGTGGTACAGCAGAAGAGATGGATTGATGTGGTACAGCAGAAGGGATTGACTGATGTGGTGCAGCAGAATGGATGGATTGATGTGGTACAGCAGAAGGGATTGACTGATGTGGTACAGGAGGAGAAGGGATGGATTGATGTGGTGCAGCAGGAGAAGGGATGGATTGATGTGGTACAGGAGGACAAGGGATGGATGGATGTGGTACAGGAGGAGAAGGGATGGACTGATGTGGTACAGCAGAAGGGATGGACTGATGTGGTACAGCAGAAGGGATGGACTGATGTGGTACAGCAGAAGGGATGGATTGATGTGGTACAGCAGCAGAAGGGATGGATTGATGTGGTACAGCAGAAGGGATGGATGGATGTGGTACAGCAGCAAAAGGGATGGACTGATGTGGTACAGCAGGAGAAGGGATGGATTATGTGGTACAGCAGAAGGGATGGATTGATGTGGTACAGCAGAAGGGATGGACTGATGTGGTACAGCAGCAGAAGGGATGGACTGATGTGGTACAGCAGCAGAAGGGATGGACTGATGTGGTACAGCAGAAGGGATGGACTGATGTGGTACAGCAAGAGAAGGGATGGACTGATGTGGTACAGCAGAAGGGATGGACTGATGTGGTACAGCAGCAGAAGGGATGGACTGATGTGGTACAGCAGAAGGGATGGACTGATGTGGTACAGAAGAAGGGATGGACTGATGTGGTACAGCAAGAGAAGGGATGGATTGATGTGGTACAGCAGAAGGGATGGACTGATGTGGTACAGAAGAAGGGATGGACTGATGTGGTACAGCAGCAGAAGGGATGGACTGATGTGGTACAGCAGAAGGGATGGACTGATGTGGTACAGCAGAAGGGATGGATTGATGTGGTACAGCAGAAGGGATGGACTGATGTGGTACAGCAGCAGAAGGGATGGACTGATGTGGTACAGCAGCAGAAGGGATGGACTTATGTGGTACAGCAGAAGGGATGGACTGATGTGGTACAGCAAGAGAAGGGATGGACTGATGTGGTACAGCAGAAGGGATGGACTGATGTGGTACAGCAGCAGAAGGGATGGACTGATGTGGTACAGCAGAAGGGATGGACTGATGTGGTACAGAAGAAGGGATGGACTGATGTGGTACAGCAAGAGAAGGGATGGACTGATGTGGTACAGCAGAAGGGATGGACTGATGTGGTACAGAAGAAGGGATGGACTGATGTGGTACAGCAAGAGAAGGGATGGATTGATGTGGTACAGCAGAAGGGATGGACTGATGTGGTACAGAAGAAGGGATGGACTGATGTGGTACAAGAGGAAGAGCCGAGTGGACGATGCACAGTGAGCGCTAACAGCGGAGCGGTGTTGACGATGTGTGTCTGTGCAGCTCGTGGAGGGCTCGACTGGGCGGTTGGAGGCGGTCGCTCTCTTGCCAACAACGCAGGAGCGACGCTCACAACAACGAGCGCCAGGCGGATAAAACGCAGCGAGTTGGCACAGGTCAGTCGCCTGGGTCTGTCCACCACCTCCTCCTCCTACCAGCGAGCCTACGCCAAACTCGCAGCGTTAATGTTAAACGTCAGCTGAGGGTTAATGTCGGCTGGTTGTTGTCCATGATGCCCACTGTGATAACGCCTTGTGGTGTGGTGAAGCGTGGGTGGCTCCCACCTTCTGTAAAGGCGTCTTGCGAGTGTAGGAGAGTAGACCACGGATTATTCTCGCCGAAGCCAGCAATGCCATCGGGGCGTGTGTTTTTGTTTACCTTTCCGCCGACACGGACACGCCCCCTTCCCCCCCATCGTGAAACTCCAAGATGGACTCGTCCTGACGTCTGGAGCAGGCACGAGATGGCCTCTACCATCTGGTACCAACCCCAGGGGGGGAGGGCGGGTACAGTTCTGCATCCGTCCCTGTACAAAATAAAGTTATACTGGTAGGAACGAAGTGGACCAGACCACCAATAGATTAATGTGTCCGTCCGTCCGTCCGTCCGACTGTCCGTCCGTCCGTCCGTCCCTCCGTGTATCAACATCGCCCCCTACTGCAAACACTTGGCATGACCCTACAAAAACCTTTAGACTCAGTGACGCTATCCTGGTAGCAACATCGCCCCCTACTGCAAACACTTGGCATGACACGTGTAACATTCCCTTATTCCCTGAGATAGCTTTTGATTAAAACTTTGAAATTAAATTAAAAAAACTCACAGCGCCCTAAAGCCTACAGCTAGGCCTAAAGCCTAGAACTAGGCCTGAAACTCTCCCTTCGTATCGTACCCCCGCGTGTGTGAAAGGGAGTTATGTTTAACAATGTTACATTCCCTCATGTTTTTAAATAGAAACATTTAAATTTAAAGCTTTTACATAAATCATTAAAACATTTAAATTAAAAATTAACTCACAGCGCCCTAAAGCCTACAGCTAGGCCTAAAGCCTAGAACTAGGCCTCAATCTCTCCCTTCGTATCGTCCGATTAGGTGTAGCAACATCGCCCCCTACTGCAAACACTTGGCAGGACCCTACAAAAACCTTTTGACTCAGTGGGGCTTTCCTGGCTAAACAAGTGTAATAATAAACTTCGCTTCAAATTTACTTTACTGAAACGCAGCACGTTTTTTTAACACAGAGACAAGATACATTTATTAACACAGAGACAAGATACATTTAATCGCCTTATTTGTGCACGAAAAGCACGGCGCGAGGCCTAGTGCAGCAGGCTTCGCGAGGCCTAGTGCGGCAGGCTTTGCGAGGCTTACTGCAGAAGGCTTCGCGAGGCCTACTGCGGAAAAGGCTTCGCGAGGCCTACTGCAGAGAAGGCTTCGCGAGGCCTACTGCAGAAGGCTTCGCGAGGCCTACTGCAGAAGGCTTCGCGAGGCCTAGTGCAGAAGGCTTCACGAGGCCTACTGCAGAAGGCTTCGCGAGGCCTAGTGCGGCAGGCTTCGCGAGGCCTACTGCAGAAGGCTTCGCGAGGCCTACTGCAGGGAAGGCTTCGCGAGGCCTACTGCAGAAGGCTTCGCGAGGCCTACTGCAGAGAAGGCTTCGCGAGGCCTAGTGCAGAAGGCTTCGCGAGGCCTAGTGCAGAAGGCTTCGCGAGGCCTACTGCAGAGAAGGCTTCGCGAGGCCTAGTGCAGAAGGCTTCGCGAGGCCTACTGTAGGGAAGGCTTCGCGAGGCCTAGTACAGAAGGCTTCGCGAGGCCTACTGCAGGAGGCTTCGCGAGGCCTAGTGCAGAAGGCTTCGCGAGGCCTACTGCAGGGAAGGCTTCGCGAGGCCTAGTGCAGAAGGCTTCGCGAGGCCTACTGCAGGAGGCTTCGCGAGGCCTAGTGCAGGAGGCTTCGCGAGGCCTACTGCAGGAGGCTTCGCGAGGCCTAGTGCAGAAGGCTTCGCGAGGCCTACTGCAGGAGGCTTCGCGAGGCCTACTGCAGGAGGCTTCGCGAGGCCTACTGCGACAGGCTTTGCGAGGCCGTCCGTCTGTCTGACAAGATGGCCGCCCGCTCCCCCTGCGATCCGTGAACTAAATGAACTAAACAAGATGGCCGTCACATCCGGCACAGCCAATGACATCGCCTGTTGCAATCCTTGCTCTGTGGGCGCACGAGTCAGTGGGGAGGGGGGTGTTGACGTCATTGCTCTGTGGGCGCGCGAGTCAGTGGGGAGGGGGGTGTTGACGTCATTGCTCTGTGGGCGCGCGAGTCAGTGGGGAGGGGGGTGTTGACGTCATTGCTCTGTGTGCGCGCGAGTCAGTGGGGAGGGGGGTGTTGACGTCATTGCTCTGTGGGCGCGCGAGTCAGTGGGGAGGGGGGTGTTGACGTCATTGCTCTGTGGGCGCGCGAGTCAGTGGGGAGGGGGGTGTTGACGTCATTGCTCTGTGGGCGCACGAGTCAGTGGGGAGGGGGGTGTTGACGTCATTGCTCTGTGGGCGCGCGAGTCAGTGGGGAGGGGGGTGTTGACGTCATTGCTCTGTGGGCGCGCGAGTCAGTGGGGAGGGGGGTGTTGACGTCATTGCTCTGTGTGCGCGCGAGTCAGTGGGGAGGGGGTGTTGACGTCATTGCTCTGTGGGCTCGCGAGTCAGTGGGGAGGGGGGTGTTGACGTCATTGCTCTGTGGGCGCGCGAGTCAGTGGGGAGGGGGGTGTTGACGTCATTGCTCTGTGTGCGCGCGAGTCAGTGGGGAGGGGGGTGTTGACGTCATTGCTCTGTGTGCGCGCGAGTCAGTGGGGAGGGGGGTGTTGACGTCATTGCTCTGTGTGCGCGCGAGTCAGTGGGGAGGGGGGTGTTGACGTCATTGCTCTGTGGGCTCGCGAGTCAGTGGGGAGGGGGGTGTTGACGTCATTGCTCTGTGGGCGCGCGAGTCAGTGGGGAGGGGGGTGTTGACGTCATTGCTCTGTGTGCGCGCGAGTCAGTGGGGAGGGGGGTGTTGACGTCATTGCTCTGTGGGCTCGCGAGTCAGTGGGGAGGGGGGTGTTGACGTCATTGCTCTGTGGGCGCGCGAGTCAGTGGGGAGGGGGGTGTTGACGTCATTGCTCTGTGTGCGCGCGAGTCAGTGGGGAGGGGGGTGTTGACGTCATTGCTCTGTGGGCTCGCGAGTCAGTGGGGAGGGGGGTGTTGACGTCATTGCTCTGTGGGCGCGCGAGTCAGTGGGGAGGGGGGTGTGGACGTCATTGCTCTGTGTGCGCGCGAGTCAGTGGGGAGGGGGGTGTTGACGTCATTGCTCTGTGTGCGCGCGAGTCAGTGGGGAGGGGGGTGTTGACGTCATTGCTCTGTGGGCTCGCGAGTCAGTGGGGAGGGGGGTGTTGACGTCATTGCTCTGTGGGCTCGCGAGTCAGTGGGGAGGGGGGTGTTGACGTCATTGCTCTGTGTGCGCGCGAGTCAGTGGGGAGGGGGGTGTTGACGTCATTGCTCTGTGGGCTCGCGAGTCAGTGGGGAGGGGGGTGTTGACGTCATTGCTCTGTGTGCGCGCGAGTCAGTGGGGAGGGGGGGTGTGGACGTCATCGCTCACCCCCCATGCACAAATCATTTTCTTTTTAACTCCTCTATACCCGGTCGATATCCCTGTACCGGTATTAGTATTATTCCTACCAGCCCACCCCGCAGGGTCCTGTTACTGGTAGGAACGAAGTGGACCAGACCACCAATAGATTAATGTGTCCGTCCGTCCGTCCGACTGTCCGTCCGTCCGTCCGTCCGTCCCTCCGTGTATCAACATCGCCCCCTACTGCAAACACTTGGCATGACCCTACAAAAACCTTTAGACTCAGTGACGCTATCCTGGTAGCAACATCGCCCCCTACTGCAAACACTTGGCATGACACGTGTAACATTCCCTTATTCCCTGAGATAGCTTTTGATTAAAACCTTGAAATTAAATAAAGTGCGCGCGTTTCGTTAAGATTAACGTGAGTAGCCGCGTGTAAGAGTTACATTTTAACGACAGGCGCGCGCTATAATCAGTAGTTTATACTGGTATAAAATAGTTTGACCAGACAAGCTGGGTGTTGAAAGTTTTTCATTGTCACGCCAAATGTGCTGCAATCTTTGATTATTTAGCTGCTGGCTGCATGTTTGGTGGCGATGCTACCGTTATAGCAGCACCAACTGCGGTTGGTTCTGGGTCCATGGAAACGACGCTTTTCACTGCGAGTTTGTAAAGGGTTCCAGCAGCAAATGCGGTCTCTGTTTCAGCAAGCATCTTTCAACGTGGGCGTCCAGACAACCATTGGGATCTTCAAAGTCGTGGTTGTTTTCGGTATCCATGTCGTGCGCGCGAATAAAAACTCGAAGTGCCAAACAAACACCGCTCAATGTAGTACTGTTATATGAATATGCAAACGCCCGTTTATTCAACTCTATGTAGACGACATAAAATGCACCAAGGTGCCGTTTATTCCCTCTATTTTATTTCACCTTTATACTAGTAAATGCATTCGAGTTTCCCCATCTAAGGTCAATTAATCTCAGATGTGATCGTTTGGAAATGAAAGACTACGAGTCTTTAAATCTCACAACGTTTCTTGTAAAAAACAAACACTTTTAATAATTAACGTTACACTAGAATACAGTAATTTTTTCTTTAACTCCTCTATACCCGGTCGATATCCCTGTACCGGTACTAAGTATTATTCCTACCAGCCCACCCCGCAGGGTTCTGTTACTCGTAGGAACCCACTGGTTCAGGGAGGGGGCTGGGTGGGGAGGGAGGGGCTGGGTCGGGAGGGTGGGGAGGGGCTGAGTGGGGAGGGACTGGGTGGGGAAGGGCTGGGTGGGGAGGGGAGGGTGGGGAGGGTGGGGAAGGGCTGGGTGGGGAGGGGCTGGGTGGGGAGAGTGGGGCTGGGTGGGGCTGGGAGGGGAGGGTGGGGAGGGCTGGGTGGGGAGGGGAGGGTGGGGAGGGCTGGGTGGGGAGGGGAGGGTGGGGAGGGCTGGGTGGGGAGGGGAGGGTGGGGAGGGCTGGGTGGGGAGGGGAGGGTGGGTAGGGCTGGGTGGGGAGGGGATGGTGAGGAGGGCTGGGGAGGGGAGGGTGGGGAGGGGCTGGGTGGGGAGGGTGGGGAAGGGCTGGGTGGGGAGGGGAGGGTGGGGAGGGGCTCGCTGGGGAGGGTGGATGGGGAGGGGCTGAGTGGGGAGGGGCTGAGTGGAGAGGGACTGGGTGGGGAGGGGCTGGGTGGGGAGGGGAGGGTGGGGAAGGGCTGAGTGGGGAGGGACTGGGTGGGGAAGGGCTGGGTGGGGAGGGGAGGGTGGGGAGGGTGGGGAAGGGCTGGGTGGGGAGGGGCTGGGTGGGGAGAGTGGGGCTGGGTGGGGCTGGGAGGGGAGGGTGGGGAGGGCTGGGTGGGGAGGGGAGGGTGGGGAGGGCTGGGTGGGGAGGGGAGGGTGGGGAGGGCTGGGTGGGGAGGGGAGGGTGGGGAGGGCTGGGTGGGGAGGGGAGGGTGGGTAGGGCTGGGTGGGGAGGGGATGGTGAGGAGGGCTGGGGAGGGGAGGGTGGGGAGGGGCTGGGTGGGGAGGGTGGGGAAGGGCTGGGTGGGGAGGGGAGGGTGGGGAGGGGCTCGCTGGGGAGGGTGGATGGGGAGGGGCTGAGTGGGGAGGGGCTGAGTGGAGAGGGACTGGGTGGGGAGGGGCTGGGTGGGGAGGGGAGGGTGGGGAAGGGCTGGGTTGGGAGAGTGGGGCTGGGTGGGGAGGGGAGGGTGGGGAAGGGCTGGGTTGGGAGAGTGGGGCTGGGTGGGGCTGGGTGGGGAGGGGAGGGTGGGGAGGGGATGGTGAGGAGGGCTGGGGAGGGGAGGGTGGGGAGGGGAGGGTGGGGAGGGTGGGGCTGTGTCGTGTGGTGGCGGGTTTAACGACACATTTATATTTTAACGATCTAACCCACAAAAACGATATTATGGGTTCGTATTGATGGTGTGGGTTCATATTGATGATGTGGGTCTGTGTTGATGTGGGTCTGTGTTGATGTGGGTCTGTGTTGATGTGGGTCTGTGTTGATGATGGTTGGTCTGTGTTCATGATAGTTGGTCCGTGTTCATGTGGGTTCGTGGCTACGTACGGTGCGAGAGAAGTTTGACGTATATACATACTGCGATATAGAATTGTGCATCATCAGCATATGGAACTCGGTGTAATGCGATCAGATGCCATTGGTGATTGGAGAAACATATGTTGAAAAGAAGAAGGGCCAACTTGACACGGCATAGGCGGTTTACGATTCGTCATCCAATTCTATGAACTGTGATGGACAACGTAGGTATGACTCAATCCACCCAAGTGCCGTACCAAATACACTGAATCTTGACCTTCATATGGGTTCATGCTCATGAGGGTCCGTGTTGATGATTTGGGTCCATGTGGATGATTTTGGCCAGTGATAATGATGATGATAATGTGTGTTCGTGCTGACAAAATCGCTGACGTGAATTATATTCTATCCTGATAAATTACCTCGTCGCACATTCTAGACTCTGTATGACCCGAGACTCATCTACCACTTCCCCTACAGGGATGCGAAGATGGTGTGAGACACAAACTTCTGACCCGCCCATGCTGGATATCTGTAACAAAGAGCTTCACAACTCATCGGATTCCTCTGGTCAGCATAAAGATTCTGATTCCGAGGTCTGCACATCCTGCCCCGTACGCCGACGACATGGAGGTACGAACTCATACTCTTTGGTTCTTTCGGTAAAGTCACGTAGGTGAAAATAATAATAAAAAAAAATAAAAAAGTGAAAACTTAATTAAATCACGACGTTTCGGGCGCAACACAAGCGTCCTTCATCAGGTGGGGACCACCACAGCAAAAACAGTTGCTGAAGTATGCCAAAGAGATTGCTTTGACAGGTACGGACTCGTTTGCCTGTGTGGCGAAGTATGTGTGGACATGTCATGCACCTACGTGTGTTCCCCACTCTATCCGTGTACCTGTCATCCTGTCTACCTTGGTGTGTCTACTTGCCTACCTGTATGTGTATCAGTGTCTGAGATGTTGTCCGTGTATCCACTGCCAGTCGAAGGTTTCCCAAGGCACTGCCACCTCTCAGGATTTTGTGATGCTGTAATTCGCCCAGCACCTACTTTACACGTCATCTGATTTAACCGCGTTGTATGTTTTGGTCCATGACCTCTTGTGCATGTGCCATTCCTTGGCTGCCTCTTTGTTACGAGTCTTGACCATCGGACCATTGTCCCTTGTAGCCGTGACGTGTCCTGCCAAAGTCCACTAACTTTTTTTCATCGTGTGGATGTGGTCAAGAACCTGTGTATGTTCTCTCATCCACGATGTTCTTCTTCTTGTCAACCTAATTCCATGATTGCATCTCGCGATGCTTCTCTGGCCACTTTTTCAGCTTTTGTTCTATATTCCTCATATGACATAGTGGAGAGTATGCACTCATTGAAACTTTATAAAAAAAAAATCTGCTAACTGCTATATGGGGTGGGGGATCTTTGTCTTTGTTTAGATGTGCTGTCATCGAGCGTTTGAGAGGGAGAGGACTAACATGACATGGAGCGCGCTTTCCCACTCGTCGGGTGGAAAAGCCATCAAAAGCAAATCTCCACGAGGTAATACAAATTCATGGGGGAAGTTAACGAGGCTGTGTTGCATGGGGGGGGGGGGGGGGCTGGGTGGTGTTAACGCATCCGTGTTGCATGGGGGAAGTCTTGTTGGCTATGTTACATGGGGATACGTCAAGGTGGCTATGTTGTACAGAGGACATCATGCTCCCTATCTTGCATGGCAGAAGTCAAGGAGACCATGTTTCATGGATGTCACGTCGGCCATGTTGCATGGGGTGTGTCACGTCGGCCATGTTGCATGGGGTGTGTCACGTCGGCCATGTTGCATGGGGTGTGTCACGTCGGCCATGTTGCATGGGGTGTGTCACGTCGGCCATGTTGCATGGGGTGTGTCACGTCGGCCATGTTGCATGGGGTGTGTCACGTCGGCCATGTTGCATGGGGTGTGTCACGTCGGCCATGTTGCATGGGGTGTGTCACGTCGGCCATGTTGCATGGGGTGTGTCACGTCGGCCATGTTGCATGGGGTGTGTCACGTCGGCCGGGTTGACATGGACGCGTCATCGTCTCGTTTAAAAAAAGTCTTGAGACTGCTGCGACTTTATTGGGTATATACCAGCAGCACATGAATTGTTGCTGCCATTCTTGTGTCTGTAGACATCCTTGAGCTCCATGGCAACCAGCTGACCCCCTGTGAGAAAAGAGAAATCTCAGCAATGAGGGACATCTGGTATTTCGGGGTTCACAATCTCGCCATTGGTCGCCATAACCACGGTTATGACGACTTCGAACGCCTTTACGTGTCGGTAAGTCTCACCACAGAAGGGCAGCCTTGCGGGTAGTGACAGGGCCCAGCACTCGCAGTTTATTTCCTTATCTGGCACCTTACTAAATTTGTGCAGTCAAAGATGATCGCACTCAGGATGGCCTGGTACAATAAAACGCCTTAATAATAATGAAAAACGGGAACATACTCTTGAGGTTTTTTCGGTAAAGTCAAGTAGGTAAAAATAAATAATAGAAATAAAATAATAAATCACGACGTTTCGGAGGCAACACAAGTCTCCGTCATCAGGTGGGACGGTCACAGCTAATTCTACTGTATTAAATTGTATTCTTGTCACTGCGCGGATTAGGTCTCCGATTTATGTATCTAATGAGCACCGAATTGTATGTATGTACATTGAACTTCTTTCGCACCGCACGTAGCCAACTGCACGAATCGGAGGCGCGCGGGGGGGGGGACAACAACACATAAAAAAAAACACAAAAAGCAGTTCTAAAGAAATGAAACACATTCCTGCGGAGGGAGCTGGTAGGAACGTCGGGTTGCTCGGTCAATGGCCTGCAGGGTCAACGGCGGCGTGGTGTATTCCGCAAATATGCCCGACTGTGAGGGCGGGCACAAGCCGGCGTGAGTAGGTTAAACGTTGAGTTTTATAAGGGCACCCCGGGGTGACCAGCCCCACCCCACCCAGCCCCACCCCACCCAGCCCCACCCCCCACCCAGCCCTTCCCCACCCTCCCCACCCAGCCCCTCCCCACCCAGCCCCTCCCCACCCTCCCCACCCAGCCCCTCCCCACCCAGCCCCTCCCTGCACGACGGACGGACACAATAATCCCCTGTGGGCTGGTGTAACCAGGAGGTTCCTACCAGTATTAGCGGTGACTTAATGAGCGTTGAGTCGGCACTCAATTGTCGTGTGATTGTTGCACAGGTCACCCACGAGCACATCAACTTCCGTTACGAGGTGCTCGCGAGGCTTGCGAGGAGCGAAGACGGCCGGGTGTTGTCTTGCCTTGACCACAGAACCAACGCTCTGGTGGCCATCAAAATGTGGAGGAAAGCATCGAGGTGAGACTTCACGATGGCGCGTATCGTCATAATAAATAATAACAACGAATACTTTGATAATTGTTCTTTTTACCCTTCTATCTGGCAACAAAACTGACACCTTTTTTTACAAGGAGTCATGTTTGCATAGACCACAATACCTGCAGTCATAATGCAAACAAAAAACACAACTCTGATAATGTATGCATTGTCAGTTTTGTTGCCAGATAGAAGGGTAAAAAAACCATTTTATTTTTTACTGGCAAATGAGGTTCCAATGGAACGAATACTTTGTGTCACCATTGGAACCTCCTTTGCCAGTAGCAAAATATGATAATTGTTTTTTTTTACCCTTTTATCTGGCAACAAAACTGACACCTTTTGGCGTCATCTGGTCCAACACCATGTGAGACTAGGCTCTAAGAAAAGCTGTCTCGGGTGTGGACCAATCAACTTCAAAGACAGTGCATACATTATCAGAGTTGTGTTTTTTGTTTGCATTCCGACCGCAGGTATTGTGGTCAATGCAAACATGACTCAATGTAAAAAAGGTGTCAGTTTTGTTGCCAGATAAAAGGGTAAAAAAAACAATTATCATACTTTGTTTCAACTTCGGTGAGCGACGACGACGTAGCGGCGTGAGGGACAGCGGATGAGATAAGTAATATTTAAAAAGACTTTTTTAAAAACACGCTTTAATGAAATGTACTGTACTCGTAATGGCAGAACTCCACGACTCCAGGAAGTGGCCGCAAAGCTTGCCATAACGTAAGAGGCCGTGGTGATTTACAGCCAACGTCAGTTGAGTGTGGGCAATTAGACCTAAGCCGAAACATAACTTAAAAAATAATGTTTAAAAACACATTTTGTATTTTTAATGATAGAATATAGTATTGTCATCAGTATGACATAAGTATACCAAGTTTGCAGTCGATACCACATTAGGAAGTGGGTTAAAATTTAGTTACAATATTTGAGGATATGACAACAGCAACAAAGTGAGTTAATAGAAAGCGTGTAATAATAATGTTTAAATTTTTAATTTTTTATGACAGAATATAGTATTGTCATCAGTATGACATAAGTATACCAAGTTTGCAGTCGATACCACATTGGGAAGTGGCTTAAAATTGAGTTACAAGATTTAAGGATACGACAACAACGACAGACAGAGTGAGTTCAATAAAAGTGTGTAATAATAAAAATGGTGGCGGCCAGCCACGCGATGAGCCAACGCCGGCAATCGCCCGGTGACTCTGCGCCCTGCGGTTCCTCGCTCCCCTCTGCGGGTCGTTTCTCTATCTCTCCCTCTTCGAGACCAAGACCAAACAAATACCACAACGTGCGTTAATTTGCCTACATAGTCGTTGACATAATCGAATTGTGGACTCCATGTGCGCAGCCCCATGGAGGACACGATCCAGAGGGTGGAACTGAACGCCATGCTTCGTTACGCCAGCAAAGGCAACGCCAGTGGTGTCAGTGCCGTGGATTGCTTCAAGTTCAGGGGTCACCACAGCATCGTCCTGAAGATGCCGAGGTATGCGCCGCGTATCCCTTTGGCGCCATCGCTTGACTTGCTTGTGCTGTCATCAGTTATTATCACACAGTAGACTCGATAGACACTCGATTGTCTGTGCTAATGACGGGGAGGACGGCCGCACTAAACTCCATATATATGTTAAAGGCGAAGTTGTGATTGTGTGTGTCTGTTAAAAATGTTTAGCGTACTTCCCGACATGCAGCAAACTTGAAATTTGCCATGTGGGTACTTTCCAGACTGTACACCATGCAATAATTATAAAAATACACTTTTGTGTGTTTTTTGTGGGGGGGGGGGGGGGGGTGAGCTCAATAATGCAGTTATTTTTTGCACGGCAAGTGAGCTGTGACGTCATATCTGTCACGTGACCTGCGCATGTGGAAGCGTCACGCCTTGTAGTGTAGTGGTGAGCGCGCCGTGCTACGAACCTGGCGACCCGAGTTCGATTCCCGCTCACGGCCACCACCGGTGACGATTATTTGAACCGGTCCTGGGCCTCCCCGAGGTCGACTCAGCCTCAAACGAGTAACTGGTGTGGTGTGTGAACATTGCCACTGGGGAGACAAAGGCGGCCGGGCATGGTGAGTCCAAGTCCCGGGTGAAGCCGGGTAGTACAGCTAGTATGGGTATAAATGATAACTTACGAAACAAATGATGGGATAAATCACTCAAAATCAAGCACAACATTTCAATTGTTACTCTTTCGATTGAGAATGAATTCTAACGATCGACCGATCAATGCACGTGGTCAGTGATAAGACTTTCCTGCTCCTGCGCGGATGAATCTGTCCACTTAGTGGACAGCAGAGCCACGCCAATCAACGTCAATTACGTACACCCCTGTTAATGACTAATCACTTAACGATGGCCCTCCATAGAGCCCAATGTGTAGTGTATAGTAGTGTAGTGTATATTGCACAAATCAACATCGCCCCCCTACTATGTCTATGAATCGTATGGCGCCTGCCTTCCTTCCCGATAGCCTCGCTGCGGATATTAAATGCTCCAAACTATTATTGCATCGCTAAACGTGGTTAATCGGCAAAACTGTGATCTCCGTTAGAGGCATAAATGCGCAATCGGAGTAAAACAAAATCGTCTCATTCACGTCTTTCCACAGATGGGAAGCTGCACCTCCCTCCTCGCTCTCTCAATATTCTGCGGATCTGGAGGAGACGGAGAAGGGGTCGCGGCTGTCTCGAGCAGGACGAGCGACCCGCTCGTTCCTCCGCTGCTCGCCGTGCTGTCGGGGAGCGACCGCCCCAGAGGAGCCGCACGACATCGACGCAACATTCGCGATGGCCGCCAGAGGTCGCAACCGGGTACCCGATACCCGTACCCTACCCGATACCCGTACCCTACCCGATACCCGGCTACCCGTACTCGGCCGGGTACGGGTAGCCGTTTGCGACCCTGGTGCGGCCGGGTACGGGTAGGCCGTGAGTCACTGGTGAGTCACCGTTTGTCACTCATTTCGGGTAGGGTACGGGTAGGGAACGGGTACGGGTACCCATTTGCGACCCTGGTGCGGCCGGGTACGGGTAAGGAATCAAAACCCGTTTGCGACCTCTGATGGCCGCGTCTTAAAAGCACCGCTTCTCCCCCCTTTGTGCTGATGTTTACACATCGGACCCGGGTACTCATTTCGAGGCCGAGTCAAACCCTGGGGGAGGCCCGGGACCGGTTTAGATTATCGTCACCGGCGTTGGCCGTTTAGTGGGGATCGAACTCGGCAGTCCGCCGGGTTCGTAGTTCAGCGCGCGAGCCGCTACACTACCACGCACGGGGGTGGCGCAGTCGTTGAGTAGAGCCGGCCCTACCCTGGGCCCTTCCCTGGTGGTTTTCTTCCAGGAAGTCCTCCAGAGGATGACCTCTCCAAGATTTCTAGAACACGCGAGGGTAGGAGCTGGCCCAGTGTGCGAGAGCCGAGGTGAGCTGGGCAAACGCAAGGCCACCTGTTAAAAGTTAGGGATGTTACAGGGACTTAGACATTATCTGTTGTTGTTACGTACAATATGCTTCGTAATTATCAAATAAACGAGTAATCAACTCTATGAAACTGGGTCCCGTTCATGCTTGTGTCGGCGACTTTACTGGTACTGTACCGGATCAGGAAGCTCGTTGACGCGAGAGCTGATCTCTGATGGTGCTGGATGTTCTGACCTGGATCCACGTCCAAACCGGGTGCACCGATCCGGGCTGCGAACCGTGGCGCTCTAAATGCCGTCGATTCCTCCGTCCCTGATGAGCACTCGCTCTACCAGGCCGACCGTTTCACCTCTCGCCCACACTGCGTTCAACTGGCACAACACTTTTGGCGTCCCCTCGCGCACCGACCAATCCACTGCTGAAGGCCGCTCAAATTTGCCGCCACCTCCCGTGGGCAATTCGACTCGCCACCCGCACGCAAACCGATTTCGTCGTTCCATCGCCCCGGTGGGCACCCTCAGGGACGCGTTCCGTTTCTTCTCAGAACCTCGGCACAATTCAAGCGACACACTCCACATGCGTTCCTGGAGAGGTGATGCACCCGTCGAATCGGCGCCAAACGGGGTCATTGTACCATCGTACATATGGGGACGCGTTCCCGACAATGTTATTTCTTTCGTATGAGCAATGTGTGTAAATATGTTGAACATAGCCACCACGCTTATTGGAGGGGGGGAAGGACAAGCTAAACACAAAAAAACCAGTTTGAAAGAAATTAGTTTTAAATCTAGGCGATTTAAAAGTGCGTAACTCCAGTGGCTTCTTAATATCGGAAGGGAGAGCGTTCCAGACGGCCACAGAAGCGCATGCGACGCAGCAGACCGCTTTTGTTCGAAGGTCAGCCAAAAGCCGCCACCGCTGCGAGGATGAGTGGAGTTCACGCGATGATGGTTTATGCCGCTTGACAAGATCATCGAGGTATTGTGGTTCATTTGCGACAAGCACATTGTGTGTAATGAGTGCGAGCTTACAAGAGTTGTTCCCACTCTTATCGCGGTATCCCGTGTATGCTTTGATGTTCATTTTTTCCCCAGTAAATATTTTCTCCAGGAAAACGCGCTGTAACGAAGGAGCATTCCAGGGGGGTCGCGCTAAGCGAGGTCTGCCTGAATTCTCATCTATTGCCAGATGAAGAATGCTGTTAGTTGCTGGCCACCTGCAATTGTGGGACTGTGCCCAGCAAACATTACACTGGTCAACACACTTTTCCTGGCATAAGGTAATTACAACGGTTTTAAGGTAATTTTGGGGTGCTGATTCCAAATCTGGCATCAGTTTTTGTCTATCACGTCAGGTTTTTGAGATATCAAATATTGCATTTTCAATAAAAACTGCAGAAGAAAAATATTAAATAAATGTGATATCTACATAAAATGATATTATAAACACACTATCCTAAAAATACACCACCATATTTTAACACTAAAGCAGTCACTGACTCGCAACAACTTGCAATCATAAGTGACGGAGTTAATTTCGGGTAAAATCAATGAAAATGGGGTATGCCGATAGCATAAAATTTGATGTTATAGAGCAAATCTGAGATCAGATTTGGACTCGGCACCCTGAAATTAGTCTAAAACAGATACAAAAGTCCAGGCCAGTAAATAAAATGTTATTTTTTTGTTGACCAGTGTTATTGAACATGTAGTGACATCGGGGATGTTACTGTACGGTGCCGGCCCGGGAGGGCCGTGGCGTGCCACGTCCCCACGTCACGGACAGCACCGTGTGGGTTGCTGTGTGAGGCCGGCTCTAGCACAGCGCGGCGTGCGATGCACCGTCATCGCGTACACCCCGTAGGCGGGTGTAGTACTAGCCCTAGTGCGGCTTGGTGAGCGCTGGGATAGCGCGGGCACCACGCATAGCGTGTAGTGCGGCCTCCCACAAGGGGGAGCGGGAGAGTGTCAGCCCAGGGGCAAGGTTGCCCCGGGCCATGGAACTCTGGTTGACCCCGTAGACACGTGATCCAGGTGGAGGGGCTGGGGGTGATGACGTGTCCGGGGAGAGCTCTCGAGAGGGAGCTAGAACGCTAGAGGTGGGCGGGGCCGCGAACGGAGCCGGCCCCGACCCGGGGGTATATAAGGTGGGTCCCTGAGATGGACCGGGGTCTCTTTGTTCTACAAGCTGGAAGCTCTACGTCTACAAGCTGGAAGCTCTACGTCCTACGAGGCATCAATACGTGGCCGGGACCCGAGGGTCCGACCCTTCGTAGCTGTAACTCCTCCGTGTCGTGTAGTTAGCTGGGTGGTCACCACCCTAGGCTGTATCTGGTAAAGGGGCAGTTACCCCTTTAGTATATGTGTTACAATAAATGTGTTGCCTCTAAAGAATAACGTCTGCAACTCAGTTGGACTCACCACAAACACATAGGACACCGCGTACGACCAGCGGCGACGAAAAACAACAACTGCAAGAACAACAATCCGGGAGGCTGAAGTCTTACGTGGCACCTTTTTTATTAATGTTACATTAAAAAAGTGACAAAATATCATGTGACAAAAATGTTTATTATATAGACCATTGAGATAAGAATTAAGATATTGCTGTTACTTGACGACTGCAGGCCGCTCTTTGCGAGCCCACCGCACGCACACACACACGCGCACGCCACAAACGATACGGGGAGGCACATTTATAATGGCGCCGCGCGGCTCCGGAAGCATTCACCACCACTGTGCCACCACGGTGCCAAAACCCAAGGTGGCGGGCGTCTTGATACGGCGTCGCGCCAATGCAGGTACGCGTCCGTCGAACCGTCCGTACGTCCGTCCGACCGTCGGGTCTGCCAGCCGGCCGAAACGGTCGCGGCAAAGGTGAGAGACCCGAATGTCGGGTCCTGGGCTGCGTCGTGCCGAGCGTCGTGCCACAAAAGGGGCAACGACGGAACAAAAAAACGAAACTGGGTTTCTCCGGGAAACGTTTTATCCCCTCGCTCGCTCACTCACGCGCAGGCGCGCACGTCAGCGGCACGGCAGCCGCGGCAAGCGCAGGTAGTCAGTCGTGCCGCCATTCACAAATTGTGCGGATCGCGTGCCACCACCTCGCACCGACGAGATAACCGAACGCTCCTACCCAGGGATTAATTTAAGCCAGGTCTGGGTCCAGGTCTTGTTGGGAGACACCAGAGAAAACAATTTTTGTGCATGACAAACACACACACACAAAAACGCATATCCAGGAACCCATTGCTACGGCTGCTCTTACTACTGTAGTCACATGCCGCCTGCTGCAGTCAGTCTACCAGTGACCTGGAAAATATTCTGCGTTAAATTAAGCCCCTGGGCACACCACATCCAGTATACCTCTCGTTACGGGCTCTGGGTCACTACGGTGAAAAATTCAAACCCTGCCCGTTGTCCGCGTAGGCACTGAATCCACCGATAAAAATGTCGCGCAGAGCGATGTGTGTGGGGGGGGGCGGGGCGAAATGTCAAATTGCGTGAATTTTAATCACGCGGAAAAATAACTCGTCAAGGGTTTACCCAGCGTCTGGGAAAAGCCGGACACACGGGGTGAGGATTTCACGTCGCAAAGTTAACGGCCGGCAAACCGCAAGGTTCGCCCAGTCCCCGCTCGGTTGGCGAAAATGAAATCGGCAATTTCCCCCCCACCCACCCACCCACCAAAAAGACCAGAACAAGAGACGGAATCCTTCCTCCACGCGAACCGAGCCCACGGCACCGTGTCCGCAGAGCCACGCGGCAGGCGGGGGAAAGCATTCGAAGGCCCTGCCTGTACCACAGCTCCCGGCACTCCAGCCAGTCGAGACCTGCAACAGGGCACGTCGATAGCAGCTACCGACATTGGGAATGCCGGGCCAACCGAAACTACCTCCGCCAGCATGCTGCCGCCGCCGCCGAAGTGGTGGTATCGTGCCGGGGCGACGCGCCGTGTGCCCGGTGCGGGTTGATGCCATACGGCTGTGAAGCGTGGTCGTTTCCCGGCCGGTTCCCACCGTACACACCGCCACGGCACCCGGTGGCACACACCGCCGAATCTGTCTCACTGTGCGTCTCACGCGATGTGGGGGGGGGGGGGGTGTCCGTTGAATATTTATAGAAAGGAGGATTAGTACTTGGGTCATTTATTTAACACACAAGACAAAGATCCGCCCGTGTAGCTTTAACAGACTGTTGGGGCAAGTGCTGTTAGCGAGCACTTACGAAGGCCGGCACGGCACACGAGGGGGTGGGTGGGCGTCACCACGCTCGGCCGCTTTTGTCTCCCCAGTAGCGATGTGGTTTACACGCCGCACCAGGTACTCATTTGAGGCTGAGTAGACCTAAGGGAGGCCCAGGACCGGTTCAGATACTCGTCACTGGTGTTGGTCGTGAGCGGGAATCGAACTCGGGCTGCCGGGTTCGTTGAGCGGCGCGCTAACCGCCACGATACCGCTCCTCGCACGCGCGCGCACACACACACACGACCATTCGGTCTTAGCGTACAATATTATAGATAGGAGCCAGCGAATGGTTCATACGGTGGGGAGGGGGTTCAACCTCTCACCCCGAGACACAGTCTCTCTTCATTCATAGCTCAGTGTGACGTATAGGTCATGTGAGGCCGAAAAAAAGGGCCCGTTCCAACATCCACCGATTATTTTAAATATACAAGTGTTATTAAGAAATATCTCCACGCGGGTACAAAGTGGTATATGTATTACATAAATAGGTTATGCAAAATAGTGCACTCTTAATGTAATATTTGCTAAATACATAACTTGCCTCTCCGTGTGCTTCGCAGGCCTCCCTCCTTAGCTGCATCGCCAGCGTTAAACTCCTCTTACTGCTGTTCCCTCCCCAGCAACCACTACCACCCCCACCACCACCACAACAAAGACAAAGGTCCCCTGTGTAGCCTTTTAACAGACCGTAGGGGCAAGTGCTGTTAGCGAGCAGCACCTCTGAAGGCCGGCACGGAGCACAAGGGGGTGGGTGGCCAGCACCACGCCCGGCCGCCTTTGTCTCCCCAGTGGCGATGTTTACACATTGCACCAGGTACTCAATTGAGGCTGAGTCGACCTAGGGGAGGCTCACGACCGGCACAGACAATTGTTACTGGCGTTGGCCGTGAGCGGGAATCGAACTCGGGTCGTCGGGTTCGTAGCGCGGCGTAGCACTAACCGCTACGCTACTGCTCCCCCTCGCATCAAAAACACACAAACACGTACACACACACACCCAGCATGCCACAGGCCCCATTCATAAAAAACACGCTTCCCACCGTTGGCATGGTACATATTACGGTGAAGTTTGGTAAACGCGCCACACCGACCAGAAACCACGGCCAGCCGGCCCGCACGTACAAACGCCGAGAGGCACGAATCGCGTCGGCCACGAACGTGCCTCAGTTGAGTTGCTTGAAGCCACTTCACAGTTGCTGTCGAAGACGCACCAACGGCCAAGCGACGGCTCGGCACAACCTCAGCGCAAGGAAATCCTGGGCATGGCTGGGCCCGTGCTCGGATCTGGCTCGAGCGAAGCGTGGCTCTGTGCCGGCTCGCCGAGCCAAGCTGAAGGGGGCGAGCCGTGAGCAAGGCCTACAATTGCCTTGGTTGGGGCGTAGGAGCTTTTTGCTGACACCCCTGGTCCACAGGCGGGTGGGATAGCCGGGTCCACGAGCCCTCGCGGAGAGGTGGGGGGGGGAGAACGCGTGGTGGTGGTGACGGTGGTGGTGGTGACGGTGGTGACGGTGGTGGCGGTGGCGACGGTGGTGACGCTGCCGAGCCGTACGGTACAATGCAAAGGGCCCCACGCGGCCAATGGGTGGCTCCCCAAATCACCGAACCGCGACTTTGGGACACCGGCTGCCCGGCAACCGAAGCTTCGATCAACCCCAGAGCCATCACGTGCTCAGCCCGGGCAAGGGCGATGTGGTATCGGGGCACACAACAGCGGGCGGCTCTCTTCAGCCTCCCCTCAATTACCCCTTTCCCCATTGGGACACTTAAGTTGTTGTGTGCCAGTGGGGGCTTGCCACTGGCGCGGTAAGAAAAAGGGAATTACTGACAAGTCTAATGAGAAGAAAGGTGGGCAGCGCATATCCCAGGAGAGAGAGAGAGGCTAAGCTTGATAAATAATGAAGATGGATTTCTTGCGGGGGGGGGGGGGGGGGGGTGGAAGTAGGAAAGAGAGGGGAAGAGAGAAGAAGAGAGGGGAAGGAGAGGGGAGAGGGAAGGAGAGGGAAGGAGAGGGAAGGAGATGGATCATCAGCTGGCAGGAGGACGAGGCGAGGCGGTTGGGGCCGAGGGACTCTCCGCGAGAGGTCGAGACCGTCCGTTGTCCGTCGTCAACAGTCGCTTCACAGAAGACGCGTTTTGGCGAGCCGGGACGCAACCAAACCGTGAGCTAAATCCGAATCTGGCTCGTGGCGGGGGGGGGGGAGGTCAAGCAGTGACGGGGGGGGGAGGTCAAGCAGGGGGGCGGGGGGTCCAGCAGCCTGGGGTTAACGACGCGTGGCTCCGACTCGTTAGGCTTTGTGCGACGGCGGCAGCAGAAGCAGCAGCGTGGCTCAGGTTCTGCAGTGGGGGGGGGGGGGGGGGGGAGTTAAAAAAAATACTCAACGGAGATTTCTGGAGCTGCGAGTCGGCCGAAAATCTCGGCGTGGCGCCGGCGTGGCTCAGTTTGTAGTTGGGGGAGAAAAAAGGGGGTTGTGAATGAGAAGCCGGGAGAAGCGTCACCCCCATCCCCACACACAACGACCCCACGCACACACACACAAAGACAGACTGTTGGGGCAAGTGCTGTTAGCGAGCACCTATGAAAGCCGGCACGGCACACGAAGTGGGTGGGTGGCCAACACCACGCCCGGCCGCCTTTGTCTCCCTAGTGGCAATGTTTACACCCCACACCAGGTACTCATTTGAGTCAGACTCGACCTAGGAAAAGAGGCCTGGGGCCGGTTCAGATATTCGTCACCGGTGTTGGCCGTGAGCGGGAATCGAACTGGGGGTCGGCGGGTTCGTAGTGCAGCGCGCTAACCGCTACACCACCGCTCCCCCCATATACACAAAATACACACAACACACAGTAAACCACACGCACCTTTACGCACACACACACACGCATAAACGAGTCCGCACAACTCGGCGACCAATGCATTTCGCATTGTTCCCCGGGTCTCACGACACGATACAATATTCGTATCGTGCTACACGATATGCGAGGGGTTATTCGACCGTACTTCACTACGCGGGCGAGTACGCGCTCACCCAACAGTGGAGTGATAAGGAGGGCGACACGTGCACGCTCCATGTGCGCTGTATAGTGTGATCTACGTTGTATACCTTTAAAAGGAGGGAGGCTCAGGTATCTCCGATTTGGACAGGCGGTGGTGGGGGCGGATGAGACTTTGTCAACGTGCAGCCGTGATGGTGGAAGGGCCTCCACTTAACCCATTGCCGTCCCGAGACGTCCTGCAAGTTGCAGGCCGCGGGGTGTGTGTCCCGTCAGCCGCCGAATCTTGGGAAGGCGCAAGAGGCTCGGCGTTCAATTTGTTTTAGAGACGCGTCGTAGTAGCAGCGCTGCCATTTTTCAAGACGCCGTTGCTCACCGCAGAGAACCGTAGCGACACGACCGCCGCGACTCTACGATAGCCGGCGCCAAAACTGTGCCAAAAGCACTCCCCCCCCCTCCCCCCCCCCCCCGTGGGGCCTTGTGGGAGCCTCGGAAATGGTTCGGCTCCGATGAGACACGTGACGTGCACATCGCCGACATACACGTCACCGGCAAACGGAGCCGCAAGAAAAGCCGACGGGAGTACGCGTGTACGTCATCGCAACGGGAAAGGCTTAAGGGGAACTCGAGCGCCGCCCAGAGGGGACGTATGGCCTACTCTTCCAGGCTGGCCGGGCATCGTCAAAACTGTGGGGGGCACGCTCGCGAAAGGGCAACCCTCGCACACCGCGCGCCACTCAAGCGGTTTCCGCTCCTCGCCAAACGCTCGGCCAAGCGTCCATCATCACAAAGGCCCCCACCCCCCACGCATCCGATATCAGATTCTCCTCGGTAAAAAACAAGTCCGTTGTAAACTCTTATATATGCTTATATACACATTATACGCGTAAAAGTGGGAAGGGGGGAGGAGGGGGGGAAGGGGCGAACTAATGGGAAAAATACAAGTGCCCCCCCCCAAACCAATCCCACTCTGACCCCCCCAGAGATTAATTTTCTTTTAAAATATATTCTTCAAAAAAGGGGTGTGTGCAGAACGAGACAGCATTTTCATCACTTTCTCACGTGGAAGGTTCGACGATGGCTTAAGTATTCTTTTGTTTTATTCACCCCTTCGCAAATATCTACTTATTTATATTTCAATAAAGTGCAAGTAGCCGACGGCACGGAGCACGGCGCCCTTGGCCAGCCGCCGCCACCACCACCAACTCCACCACAACCACCACCACCAACTTCACCACAACCACCACCAACTTCACCATAACCACCACCAACTTCACCACAACCACCACCACCACCACCGTCACCATCTCCACTACCACCAACTTCACCATAACCACCACCAACTTCACCACAACCACCACCACCACCACCGTCACCATCTCCACTACCACCAACTCCACCACCACCAACTTCACCATAACCACCACCAACTTCAGCACAACCACCACCAACTTCACCACAACCACCACCACCGTCACCATCTCCACTACCACCACCATCACCATCTTCATCACCACCACCATCTCCATCGCCACTGCCATCTCCCCACCATATCCATCACCACCATTGTCACCAGCACAATTCACCACCAACACCACCATCTCAACCACCACTGCCGCCATCACCACCTCCGCCTCCACAACCACCACTTCTAGCAACAACCACAACCACCACATCAGACACAACCACTTCCTCTGCCACCGCCACCACTTCCGGACAACCACCACCACCACCACCACACCCCCCTACGATTGCCGCCACCACAACTCGGGGCAACAGTTCAGAGCCCCACACAGGGCCGCACATCTCACCCTTCCGCCGTCGTCCTCATGACGACACGAGCGCTTAAACCGCGGGCTACAGACTCTCCACCACACTCGAGGTCAATTATAATTCACAAAACAGCAGCATCGTTAGCTCACACCGTGACAATTGGAGACCGCGATTCAGTGTGGGGAGTGTCGCAGTGATCCATCGCTGTGTACCCTACTTCCATGCTCCCTGCCTTCACCAGCTCGCACGAACCGGCGTGGTGAGGGGTGGTGAAATAACCCCCCCTCCCCCCCCCCCCCCGCGAGACCCGCACGGCGTTGGGAGTCCTCTCATCCAGCAGTGGATCAACGAGAGGGCTGCACGCGCGTTAAATGCAAACACGACGATTCGTTATTCAAAAACGCCCAGCAACACGCATCGCTACCCGTTTCAATGTGCTGACCCAGTGGCAGCTGTCAGTCACCCCCCCCTCCGGCCACACACGAATCCTAGGTCTGCCCCTTTCACGCTCCTCGGTGTACGTAACGGAAGCACCCACTCGGACGTGGTGCGCACGTGTGGTGCACACTCGCGCGTGTGGTGCACACACTCGCGCGTGTGGTGCACACGCTCGCTCGTGCTCTCCAGCAATCAAGGGCATCCAGGGCGTGTGGGGTTTGGATGATCGAACTTTCACGCGCGTGCACACCTGAATGTGCACACGTGTGCACACGTGCACACACCTGAATGTGCACACGTGTGCACGCGCACACACACACCTGAATGTGCACACGTGTGCACGCGCACACACACACCTGAATGTGCACGCGTGTGCACGCGCACACACCTGAATGTGCACACGCACACACACACCTGAATGTGCACACGTGTGCACACGCACACACACACTTGAATGTGCACACGTGTGCACGCGCACACACACGGTCGTAGAGCACGGCGGGTGTGTCCGTGTCGGCGACCCATTCAATATCTCTGCAGCCAGCAGACACGCGCGCGCACCCACACCGTCCACTATACCTCCTCTCGATATGGCCGTGGCCACGACTGGTCGTGTGTCGCCCAATGCCAGTCTAGCAGCTGTGCGGACAACGTTCGGTGAGAAATTACGCAGCTGGTCGCGAAACTGTGCTTAGCCGTGCCGAGCCGATCGAGGAAACGGTCACGTGGCCGTGCGCCTCGATTGGACATCAGATACATGGCGACACTGAGGAGGGACGCAGGGCTGCAGGTGCCACTGCGCTTTGCTGGGAGGTGCCACTGTGGGCTACGGGGAGGTGCTACTGTGCTATGCAGGGAGGTAGGTGGTACGGGTGGCCCCGCAGGGTCTTGCCGGAGCGTGCCCCTGGACATCACTGCTGTCCCAGCACGTGAGGGCACGAGAGCACACCTTCGCCACAACTCACCGGTTGCCAGACTCACCAGCGCGTAACCACATTCACCAGTCCCACAAACACTCGCCCACCACGTTGCCATCCACCACCACCACCACCACGAGAAGCCACGGCTCCCCACCACCACCACCGGTGCCACGCCACGGGAGAAGACGCGGTAAGGCAAGACGCCGAGACGGCCGCTTGCGCCGTTGCGCGCGCGCACGCTGTGCCGGCAACACAGCGGTGCGCGCGTCCTTGTAAGAAACAGTATAAACGTCAACGATTGCTTTAAATTACTCGCAAGCCTGTCCCGCCAAGGGTCGTGGTCTCGACAAAAACGCGGGACACGCTCCGTGCGTGTGCGCGCGCGCGCGCGCGCGGGTGCGTGTGTACATATATTAAAAAATAAAACTGTAATTCACTCCCTCCAAAAAAAAAACGCCGCGGCCGGTACGGACCCGGTGCGCACCGCATCGTGACTCATCTCGCAAAAAAAAAAAATCGGTCAATACCTCCTTCGCCTCGAAACACATCCAACCCCGGCACGGGCCCAAGGTGTCGTCAACTTTCACGAGCGGTTCCAATCGCTTTACGTGGCCAATCGGCAGCGAGTTGTGCGACAACCATCGGGAACGAGTGGGGGGTTACCAAATTACGGTGGCTAAGAGATGTTAACTACCTCGCCCGGTATACAGGAGGTCGTAGGTTCGATCCCGACACCTCCAGTATACTTGGAGTTTGTGTCTCTCTTCACGTGGTGGTGTGGATTTTTTACCGGGTCCTCCAGTTTTTTTTCAGCACATTTAAAATCAACGTGCGTTCAGAGTAGTTTGCTGCTATAAATTTTCAAGTAGTGACAGTCCACCTCTTTGAGCTATCATTTGTGGCGAGGTCGCTTCTGAAAAAGAGCTACATAGCTCAGTGGGGCCTTACCTCCAATTGAACGGTGTTAAAACGCAGGCGATGCTCATTGGCTCACCCCAGCAACTTCATAAAGCTGCACCCTTGAACATTACAATTGACGGTATTGTAATCAGTCCGGCACAAGAAGTCACAAATCTCGGGGTCATCTGTGATCTCACATTGATCACAAAGACTTAATTTTTCCACCCGGTGGAATATCTCCCATATCCGATCCCTTCTCTCTACCTCGTTCGTAGAAAAGCTGGTCCATGCCTTCATCTCATCTCGCATAGGCTACTGTGGATGTATTACTACTCCCTGGCGTGGCGAAGAAGGTGCTGATCAATTTGCAGGATGTTCAAAATGCGACTGCTACAGTGTTAACCAGAACGCCTCCTTCACATCGTATTACGCCCGTGTTTGCCTCCCTGCACTGGCTTACAGTTTCACAAAGAACACAGTTTAAAATCGTATTGTTAACTTAACAAAGCAGTGAACCATCTTGTCCCAGGCTACATCACGGACATGCTGCACCCACGTGTCCCCCCTCAAGGTCCCGAAGATCTGGGCATGATGCAGATCTTCTTTCTGCATTCCCAGGTCGAGGCTTCGGTCCATGGGTGACGGAGATTTTCCCCGTGTAGCCCCCAAGCTACAGAACGCTCTTTCACGAGATATCAGATGGATCTCCCGAGTCCGTGGACATAAAAAAAAAATTAGTCTTAAGACCTATTTATATGCGCATCCACCAATTAACGTTTTAGTTCATTTATTAAATGGATTTTAAGAACGCATTCATAATATAATTATTATTTCCCACCGAGTGCCTGCTGCTGCTGTGTTCTGCGATCCTTGATGAAAAGCGCAAAATAAGTGTAATTGTGATTATTCATCATACAGGTTTCTTTGGGTTAAATCGCGAAAATATATAAATGTGTCGTTAAACCCGCCACCACTTTATTCCTTCCTCCCGCCTGCTCTGATGAGTCCGGGGTGTGCCTCATCCTGTCGATGCCCCCCCCTGGTAATGCCGACCGGAACGTCAGGATGTTGCAATGTACGATGTGACGGAGGATGTGGAATAGAAGTATTTTATTTACAAAAAAATAACTACGTATTTTTTTACTTTACCGCAGAGGTCGCAAACGGGTTTTGATTCCTTACCCGTACCCGGCTGCACCAGGGTCGCAAATGGGTACCCGTACCCGGCCGGGTACGGGTTCCGATACTCTACCCGTACCCTACCCGAAATGAGTGACAAACGGTTACTCACCAGTGACTCACGGCCTACCCGTACCCGTACCCGGCCGCACCAGGGTCGCAAACGGGTACTCGTACCCTCCCCTGGCCGGGTACGGGTAGCCGGGTATCGGGTAGGGTACGGGTATCGGGTACCCGATTGCGACCTCTGCTTTGCCGGGTAAGGCCCACTGAACTGTGTAGCTCTTTTTCAGACGCGACCTGGCCATCACGAATGACAGCCCCCTGTGAAGTGACTTACCACATGGAAATTTATAGCGTCGAAATACTCCCGAAAGCGAAACGTTGATTCTAAATGTGGAGGGGACAAAAAAAAACCAAGGACCCGGAGAAGAATCCACGCAACCACGGGGAGAACGCGCAAACTCCAAATTTCGAGGCGTCAGGGTCGGGCTCGAACCCACGACCTCCTGCATACCAGGCGAGGTATTTAACATCTCACCACAGTGGCATAATTGGCCTACGCTGCCACGCAAGTCAGACGCACCCCATCACAAGCGCCCTGCTGACCATATGTGCAGTACCCGTCTATAACTGCCGTGTGGACAGAGACGAGGGGGGGAGGGGGAGATATAAGAAATGTGCTTCATCGCGACCTCTGGATTGCAAGTCCAGTGTGCTGCCCATTACAAAATGACAGGATCTCTGCGGCTGTATGCTAATCAGTAATTCTACAAGAATGTATTAAGGAGATGCTCACGTCACCGGCGGTTACAAAACCTGAGACGGAGCTCATCGCCAACTGAAACGGAACACCGTTACCCTTTTGCTGGGCCAGGTCGCTCATGCTGGTCCAGTGCACGCCACACAACAGCATACGCTCTTCACCGCACCACACACACCAACCCCAATGCACACGCGCACACACCACCCACACCACACGCGCCACCTAAACCATGCCACGTCGCACCGAGCTGGGGCCACGCTCACCGACGTTCATCCCCAGCAGCCGGGGAGGGCGCCGGCCGCGCCATCGCGCGTCTCACCCGGCACCGCCGCCACCGCCCGTACGGCCTACGAGCCAGTGTTGGATCGGCCCTCGATGGAGACCTTGAGCTGGTGCGGGATGAACGCGGGGGGAGGGCGCGGCGAGGAGGGAGGGGAGGAGGGTGGCGCCGCGTCCGATGGGGCCGGCGCCGGCTCGCGAACGTCGGGCGCCGACCAGCGCCGCTTGCGCGACGGCCGTGCCGGCGGGCCCCCGAACGCGCCGCCGCTCCCGCCGCCGCCCCACCACTCGCAATCCCTCCCGGTGAACCCCACCCCCCTTTCTCCTCCTCGGTCATCCGCCACGCCGGGGACCGGCGAGGCGCCACCTTCCCTCCTCCACCACGTCCGACCGCCGGCGGCCGACACCGCCACCCCCGTGGCCGGCGTGGGCGCGGCGCTGCCGCCGCCGCCGCGGTGGTTCCTGCTGCCGCCGGCGTCTGGCGCGACGGGGCCGCCGCGCGTCCTCCACGCCGCAGACGGCTCCTCGGCGCCGCTAAGGCCCGACGGCTCGGAGCGCAGCGCCAGCGACACGCACACGTCGCCGACGCGCAAGCGTGAGCAGCGCAGCCCCGCGGCGCGTTCGGTGCGCTCCGGTTCGCACGACGCCCAGCCCCGGCCGAACACGAAGAACGGGTGCTCCACGCTCACCTGCACCGTCACCTGCACCACGGAGACAAACAACGGGCGTTTGAGGGCGTCCATTTCGCCCGGCTGGCAGAGGCCGCGACGGGCGTTACGTGACGGGTGTCACATGACGGGCGTCACGCGGCGGGCTTCACATGACGGGCCTCACACGACGGGCGACGCTGTCGGGCGTCTCGTCGGCAAGCGAGCTGGAAACGAAACGCGACCCCCGATTCACAGTGGACGTTAAATATCCGGCCATGTCGGTTGAGGAAAACTGGGCTGTCTGTCGGTAAACTCATTTCTTGAGAACTGCTTTTCATGTTTGGTTAGTTGTCCTTCCCCCGCACCTCCGATCATCACGGTTGGCTACATACGGTGCGAAATAAGTTTAACATAGACACATACCGTGTCGTGGTCCACTTCTTGTTTTTACAATGCTCCAATTTGATCATGAATCCATATTTATTCACAATGTACCGCACTTGTTATCTCAAAAATGTGTCGTCTGAAATGATAGTATTTGAGAAAAATAAGAACAACCTGACAATAATTTACAAAGAGAAGATAGGGTTATGAGGGTGGCTGGGTGAAGATGAGTCTTTGGACTCTTTAAATTGTTAAGTAATCATTATTTTTTATCTTGTAGCATCGTCAACCCTAGAGATGAGCAACACCGCGTGACCAGCGGAGGACAGAGAGGCGTGCAGAGAGGTGCTACACGTCTTGCAAATGAGACTGTCCTGGCCTCTTGAGATCTCACCTTGCCAACCAAAATTAATTAAACGATTCACGAAAAACCCCATTATTTTACCAGGTAGGGCCCACTGAGTTGAAGAGCTCTCTTTCAGAAGCGACCTGGCCACAAATGACAGCTCCACGAAGCGGCTTATCATCATTGTGTGAACGCACGTTGGGTCGGGATTGAACCCACGACCTCCTGCACAACAGCCGAGAGAGTGAAAATCTTGCCGCCCCTCCGGACCGAGGACGGCACACGAGACCGACGGAGCCTCACCTGCAAGCGCTGGGGCCCCACGGAGAAGTGCAGCAGGTTGCAGCGGGCCTGCGCGGCGGGCTGGATGGCGGCCAGCGTGCTCGAGTCGACACGCAGCTCCCCGCTCGCCTCCGCGCTGCACACAAAGTCCTCGGTGCGCAGCTCTTCCACGCGCTTGAGCCCCCCGCCAGCGAGCGCGATCACCGAGCCCCGCGTGAAGTGCGGGGGCAGCGGCGGCGTGGGCACGGGCGACGGCGAGGTCGCGGGCGGCGGCGCCTGACCCCCCGCGTGACCGTGGTGGTGCCGGCGATCGAACGCCGAGTCGGGCCTCTGCATCGTCGGCGCCCCGGCGCGGTCACGGGCCACGGAATCCGTCATTGACGAGGCGTCGGCCGGCGGCGGCGCCGGCAGCGGCCGGTGCAGCCCGGCGCGGCCGTGCCCGTCCTGATAGCCGATCCCGAGGTCCCTGGCGACGGCCGGCGCTTGGTCAGGCACGCCGTGCAACGGTGGTTTTCCCGCCGAGGCCCTGCCGGCTCCGTACAGGTGGGCGGCGCCGTGGTGCTGCTGCTGCGGTGGCGGAGGCGCGGTCGCGGCGGCGTAGCGAGCGCCGCCGGTTCCGGTCGCGCGCCGCTGCACCGCTCCCGCGCCGTCACCGTGGCGCCAGGACGTGGCGTGAGAGGCCGCGGGGGGGGCGGCGGTGCCAGCGCCGTCGGGGGAGGGGTGTGCAGGCCGGCGGGGCCTCATGGCGCCGTCCGGGTCCGGAGTCGGGGAGCGGCGAGCGCCGGTGTCGAGCACCTGCAGCACGGAGCAGCGCGGGTTGCGGCCCAGGATCTGAGCAGCGCAAACACGAGTCGCCAAGTCAGCAGCGACAAGTCGCAAGATGGCTTTGACGCCACACGCATATACACAGAGAGAGAGAGGTGTGCACCGCGTGTCAAAAAAATCTGGCAACCTTTTCCCGCCCACCAGCTCAAACGGCCTCAACAAGCTGCAGTCAAACAGTTGCGCAATGGAACGTCACGAGACCTTCTAAAGCCATCAAATACGTTGCAAGACAACCGACAAACTATCACGCAGAGTAAACCGATACGTGATCCTGCATGCAAACCTGGAACCGCTTCTACGTTTGCACAATGTCCTCACGGCACCTGCGCGGCGAGCACAGGCTGCCCAAGATTGGCACGCACCTGCAAGGTGAGCGGAGAGCGCTGCTCCCCAGCCGCCAGGTCCATGACCAACTCGGGCGAGCTCGCGTACTGCGCCGCATCCCTCCACGCCGCCGCGCCGCCATTCGCTGCCTCCCGGTCGAGCGGCGGCCGCTCACCGCCATCACCGCCGTGCCGCTGACTGCCACCAACACCGTGCCGCTCACCGCCACCGTGCCGCTCACCGCCACCAACACCGTGCCGCTCACCACCACCAACACCGTGCCGCTCACCGCCACCGTGCCGCTCACCGCCACCAACACCGTGCCGCTCACCACCACCAACACCGTGCCGCTCACTGCCACCAACACCGTGCCGCTCACCACCACCAACACCGTGCCGCTCACCGCCACCGTGCCGCTCACCGCCACCAACACCGTGCCGCTCACCACCACCAACACCGTGCCGCTCACCGCCACCAACACCGTGCCGCTCACCGCCACCAACACCGTGCCGCTCACCGCCACCAACACCGTGCCGCTCACCGCCACCAACACCGTGCCGCTCACCGTCACCAACACCGTGCCGCTCACCGCCACCAACACCGTGCCGCTCACCGCCACCAACACCGTGCCGCTCACCGCCACCAACACCGTGCCGCTCACCGCCACCAACACCGTGCCGCTCACCGCCACCACTGTGCCGCTCACCACCGCCACTGTGTCGCTCACCAAAGCCGTGCCGCTCACCGCCACCACCTCTGTGGCAGTCACCGCCACCCGTCGCCGGCTCATTCATTCCCAGACGGTCGCCGGCCACCGGCGGCGACGGGTGCGACGAGAGACTCATGCGGTACATGGCCTCCGAGTATTGCAGCGAGGCGGACACCGGCGGCGCCGCCACGCCCACCATGCCGGGCCCCGGCGACAACAGCGCCGGGTGGATGGGCATGGGGGGCATGCCGGGCGAGGGCATTCCGCGTGGTACACCGTACGCGGCCGCGGGTGATGCCAGGAAAGACAGCATGGCCTGGGGGTTCCCATATGCCTGCCCCCCTCCATGCTGCTGCTGCTGTTGTTGTTGTTGCTGCTGCTGCTGCAGCTGTTGCAGCTGCTGCTGCGAGCCACCAAGTCCGGCCAGCATGGCGGAGTACGAGTCTAGCGAGCTTGGCCGGGCCGTTACGAGGGAGGGGTGGTGCAGGAAGGCCTGCGACTGGTACGCGGCGGTCGCATAGGGCACGCCGCCAATGTACTGTATCGGCGGGTACTGCAACCCCGACGAGTACGAGACGGCGCCGTGTCCCAGCGGCGAAGTGGAATAGACGGCCACCAGCGGCGCCGCCGCCGCCGCCACGTAGGTGCGGGCGGACGCCGCCCCCGGCGAGTAGTCGATGGGCGAGGGGGAGCAGCTGTAGAGGCCTGGCGGTGGATGCTTGGCGACGGAGGCGTCGCCGTAAGCGTCGCCGGCGTTGGCCAGAAGCACCGGCGGAGAGTAGCCGGCGCGGCCCGACTGGCTCTGGCTCGCCGCGAGCGACTCCAGCCAAGAGAGGCCCTCGGCGGCGCGATCCGAGGACGGGCGGTCCGGCGAGGGGCGCTCGCAGGGCGAGGCGAGCGCCGGCGGGCGGGGCGGCGGTGCCGGCGGCGGCAAGCCGTGGTGGGTGCTGCCATCGTGGGCGTCAGCGCTGTGCAGCAGCTCGCGCTTCTTGGGCGGAAGGCAGGACTCGCTGGCGCGATCTCCTCCCGACGACCTCATCTTGGCATCTTCTCAGCGCCAGCAGCACGACCGGCGCCGGGGTACAGGGGCGGCACTTGCTCTAGCTCCGCCGGTACACGTGTGTGACGCTGACGCCATACGGGAGAAAGAAGGGCATACGGCACGAACAATTGGAAATGTCGGGTGGAGGAACGGACAACAGGGCACGACCACAACGGCAAACTGCACGGCTGACGGTACCAGCCTATAGCCGAACTCTCAAAGCGAAAGGTTCAGAACTTCCTGCGCCAGTACTGGAGGAAGTGGATGTGAGACTTCGCAGCTGTTTGGAGGTGGAGCGACTGATTGATTGGGAGGCGTGAGAAGTGAGTGATGATTGGGAGGTGTGAGGTGGCGTGATGATTGGGAGGTGTCGGGAGGCGTGTAGGATTATTGGGGGGGGGGGGGGGGGGGGGCGGACTATGAGATGGAGTCATAATTGGCAGGAAGGAGTAAGTGTGAGGAACGAGTGACGAATGGAAGGTGTGCGGTGGTGTGTGTTGCTGGTGGTAATAATAATGGTGAGTGAACACGGGCGGGGGGGGGAGCGGGGGACACTAGGGGGAGGGGGGGAAGAAGAACGTGGGTAGAGGGGGAAACGGGGGGGGAGGGGGTAAGACGGGAAACCTGGGGGGAATACGCGGAGAGGGGGGGCTACGCGGAGAGGGGGGGCACGGAGAGGGGGGGCACGGAGGGGGAGGCACGGAGAAGGGAGGGGTATGGAGAAGGGGGGGGGCACGGAGAGGGGGGGGGGCACGCAGAAGGGGGGGGGGCACGGAGGGGACGACTGGAAGAGGGGGCAACATGAAGACGAGAAACACAACATGGGGATGGCAAACACCGGTGGGGGTGGGGGGCATGGGGAGGGGGGGGGGGCACGGAGGGGGGAATCGCGGGGAGGGAGATCACTGGGTAAGGGGCCATCCATTTAGTCCGTACGCATGGAGGGGGGGGGGGGTAACCCAAATGCGTTCGCTTGCGTGTGGGGGGTCTTCTGACAATGTACGCCTAGGAAACGGGGGGGGGGGAGGGGGAGTGAAGCCTCGATAATAATTTGTCTACATTGGCCTTCTAATTAGATGGTCCGGTGGGGGACTGTCTGTTTGGGGAGGGGGGTACTGGGGAGGGGTTACACAGAGCGGGGGGAGACTGGGGGAGGGGGGCACTGGGGAGGGGGGAACATGGAGGGGGGGGCACTGAGGAGGGGGCACTGAGGAGGGGGTACACAGAGAGGGGGGAGACTGGAGGAGGGGCGACATTGGGGAGGGGGGACATGGAGGGGGGGGGGCACTGAGGAGGGGGCACTGGGGAGGGGGGCACTGGGGAGGGGGTACACAGAGAGGGGGGAGACTGGGGGAGGGGGGACATGGAGGGGGGGGCACTGAGGAGGGGGCACTGGGGAGGAGGGCACTGGGGAGGGGGGCACTGGGGAGGGGTTGGTACACAGAAGAGGGGGGAGACTGAGGATGGGCGACATTGGGGAGGGGTGGGCATGGAGTGGGTGGGACATGGAAGGGTGTACAGAGAGAGGGGTGCTGAGGCCTGGGGGAGGGGGGCACTGGGGAGGGGGACACTGAGGACGGGGCACTGGGGAGGGGGGGACCTGGAGGGGGGGGGGCAACTGAGGAGGGGCTACACAGAGAGGGGGGACCAAGGAGGGGGGCACTGAGGCGGGGGTTAGTGGGAGGGGGGCACTGGGGAGGGGGTTACACCGAGAGGGGGGACAAGGCAGGGGGGACACGGAGGGGAGAGGACACTGGGGAGGGGGGACATGGAGGGGGGGGGCTGGGGGCACATGGGGGAGGGGGTACACAGCGGAGGGGGGCACTGGGAAGGGGGGGACACGGTTCCAGGGGAACATGGGACTTGTTCTCACCATCCGCTCCGTCTCCGTCTCCCGCGAAAGACGCGGGCCCAGCGAAGCGCAGGAGTAGCAGGCGACTGCGGCGTGAGGACCGTGACGAGGTTGCACACAACGTGATGATGATGATGTGGATGCAATGATGATGATGATGTAGTGGTATCGGTGATGAAGGGTTAGCGATGCTGATGATGAGGTGATGGTGCCGATGAAGAGTTGATTACAATTATGAGAGGGGGGGGGGGAGGGTGTGATAGTGGATGTAATGTTAATGTTGTAGATGTGATGACGATGTAGCCTTAGCAATGGTGGTGGCGGCGGTGATGATGATGATGTGATGATGATGATGTTGATGGTGGTGATGTTGTAAAAGACGCGCAGCTTCTGCCCGTTTCCGGTGCGCGGTTCCACTTCCGCCTTGGCGGTCCCATGACCCCTGAACCCCCCCCCCACCCCCTTCTCTTCCCCCCACAAAGCCCCGGATGTCGACACTGACACGCATGCGCGCGCGCGCGCACTCTCCTCCCCCTCCCCTCTGCACACAGGGCGCGAAAACCCCGGATGTTGACACTTTCGCGCGTGCGCACCGCTCTCGGCGTCCCAAACCACGCCCCCTTTTTCCCGCGTCACGTGACCCGAAACGTGGGGTGGGGGTTGGTGGGGGGGGTCTCTTCCGCTCGACAATGGCGACCGCGGGGTAAGCGTGGGGTGCGCTCAAGCGGGCGGCGCACGAAGCGAGGTGCACGACAGCGACATGGAGAGCGGCGCGAAGGTAACTAAAAACACCGCACGCACGCGGGCAACGCGGCGTCTCTGACGACCACCCACCCGCCCAATCCCGACGGCGGTGGAGGCTCGAGGCGCTGAGGGAGGGGAGCGAGAGAGGAGAGCTCCGGCTGCTGTAGGGTTGCTCTGAGTGAGTAGGCCCCGCGCAGAGAGGAGGGCCGCTTCGGGGGGCAAGCGGCGTTGCCTCGTTCTCGTCGAGGGAAGAGGAAGCCGAGGACGAAGCTCTTATCTGCCTACTTCCACCTCCCTCCCGGGTGATGTTCGCTTGGTGGTGGTGGTGGTGGTGGTTGTTGTTGCGTGGCCGTCTGTGAGATGCGCCGGACAGTCGAGGGGGCCGAGTGCGTGGCCAGGGGGAAGTGGTGGTGGTGATGGTGGTGGTGATGGTGGTGGTGATGATGGTGGTGGTGGAGGGGGACCGAGGTTGGTCGATGGGACGAGGCTGGCTGATGGCGGGGGTGCGAGTGGCGGCCCAAAGGACGGAGCGCATCGCCCCCCCCCCCCAAGTGATGGGGTAAATGGGGGCATGCATTCGTGGGGGGCTGGAGGAGATGGGGGGGGGGAGATGAAAGGGGGTCCGATGGGACGAGGGGGTGGCTGGGGGTCGGAGTGGTGGCCCATAGGAAGGAGCGCATCGCCCCCACAAGTGATGGGGTAAAGAGGGGGGCACGCATTCGTGGGGGGCTAGAGGAGATGGGGGGGGGAGAGACGAAAGGGGGTCGATGGGACAAGACTGGCTGGTGGCGGGAGTGGTGGCCCATAGGAAGGAGCGCATCGCCCCCACAAGTGATGGGGTAAAGAGGGGGGCACGCATTCGTGGGGGGCTAGAGGAAATGGGGGGGGGGGGAGAGACGAAAGGGGGTCGATGGGACAAGGCTGGCTGGTGGCGGGAGTGGTGGCCCATAGCAAGGAGCGCATCGCCCCCGCCCCCCCCCCCCAAGTGATTGGGTAAAGGGGGGCACGCATTCGTGGGGGGCTGGGGGAGAGACGAGGGGTGTCGATGGGACGAGGGACTGGCTGGTGGTGGGAGTGGCGGCCCAAAGGAGAGGGAGCGCATCTCCCTAAGCGGGAGCGATGATTTCCGATCGCGTCCGAGGGTGATTTGAGTTGTCCACCAGATGGACAAAATAAAAAATATCACCGCGTTTCTTTTGAGGCAGATGCAGAGGGGGCGGCATTCGCCTTCCGTTTTGCTGCAAGAGCCGCCACGTCGGGGACACGCATAACGCGCAACGCAGGTCAACACGTTTCGCCTCGTTCTTTTGGGGCTACACGTTGCTGCTTTGTGGGCCACAACCCACTGCCAACGTAGTTCAGCGGAACAAAAAAAACCCACAATATTTTAAAAACGCATTTTTAATTTGTCGAATCGAGACTTCCCCCCCGTGAACAAATCTGCAATCGATGCAATCGATGAGGGTTTAAGTAAAGACGACGAAATTGCACTTTAAATGTGTTGTACTGTGCAAGCGTGTCATTTAGCGAAGAATGGAAAGTGACTATATTAGCGAGGTGTGGCCGTGGAGAACATTACAGCCGGTTAAACCAAATCACTTACAAGGGGTTTCGTCAGAGCCTTTGGCCTATCATTTCCCCCACCCCCACCCCCCCTTCTAACTCGGCTAATGGTCGAGATTGTCTCGAGACGCGTTTGAGAGGCAAAGTGAATACAGAATCGAGAGGCGGCGTCGACTGAAAACGATGCCAGACCAAACCAATTCGCACGGGGTACGATGCAGTGAACGCCCGGGCGTACATACAAAGGGGGTGGTGGGCGCCTTGGCTTGCGACGGTCAACATATGGGCGTAAGCGACAGAGTTGCGGCGTTAACGAGTTTGTATGGCCATTGAGAACATTTGGCCCGATGCTGAATCAGAATATTTATTTTATACCTGAGGAAATCCGATGAGCTATGAAGCTTATTTTATTCACACATGTCCAGGAGGGGCATTTCCCACCTCTAAGAAATGTAAAGAGAATCGATGAATGGGTAGGTTAAATCACCGCTCGATAGGAGGACGATGATGATGGCTGATGGACGAGGCCGGTGATGTGGAGTGAGAGTGGCAGCCATAAGTCGAGAGGTCACCCCATGAGGATGGACCTCCATGGCGATGGAGCAAAGATTTCAGGACGTGTGGCAGTGAGATGGTAGCAGCAGCACTGGACCCCACTATCTTGATTAACCCTCTTAGTATCAATCCCCTCTTAATTCGCTCCCCCTTCCCGTTTTTGTTGAGCCCTGCTCTCTTCACCAAGCCTGCGACCGAATAATACCTGTTGAGGTGACTTAACGGCAAACCTCTCTGCAAGCCCAAAAAATGCTGAGTAACCATGGAGTTACTCAGCACTTTTGATTTAAAGTGACTCATCCTGAATGAGTTGAAGCCCCATGTTGGTTGCGTCACCAGCAGCGGTGGCGGCCTATCACCTTTTTTCATGCGCAAGAAAGAAGCGGCGCTGTCAACAACCCGTACGGTTTACCCCCAATATTTTAGTATCGGGAATTGAGTTTTCAGGTCAATACGGCGTACAGCCATTTGAATGCGGGCAAAAACTTTTTTTGTCTATTTTGTTTGTGTTTCTCCCTTGTGATGGGCCTTTGTAGGATTAACGTTGAGATTTACAAAGGGGCACGGGGTGATCAATACGGTGTGAATTGGTCTGTAATAAGGTTGGCATCGATAAGGGGTTGACAGATATGAAGCAGTGGCATTGCCCAAAATCTTGTCTGCCACGTTTGCTCTTCTCAGGCGGTTTCATTATTGTTGTTGATTGCTCCAGCCGAGGAAAGAGCTCTTCACGTGGGTGGGGAGAGGAGTCTGTTGAGATGCCGGGCCCTTGCACCAAAACAGACAAAATATTTGATTGTAACAATTTACAACGCACGGTGTTTGCACCGTGCGTAGTAAATTGAAGCGGAAAGAGAGATGGCACAGGACAGGGCAGCGTGGAGAAGGTTGGTAAGGACAACGGACCCCGCATGAGTGGGACACCGTTTTCATAGCGCAAGGCTAGAACGAAGTCGTGTTTTACAAACGATTATGCCACTAAGAGGAAATGCTGCCGTGTGTGGCCTTTACGCAGTTGAAGTAATTTTGTCCGGTTATTTTTTGTTGTTGTAAAAATGCCTGACCGTGTGACGCCAGCTCACCCGGCCTCCTCTTATCCAAACGACGCAGTGGTTGAGACTCACGGCACTCGAGAGGACGTCCACCGTGGACATAGGAGCACGTGCACAGGAGGAGCCAGGTGGATTGTTTCTCCGAAGGAACAATAACAGATGACGGTGGCTCGCGGAGGCCTTGACCCAGCGGCCCCCATAACCCCCCCTCCCCACGCCTTGTTGTTCTATGACGGTGATGAATTGTAACACTCTTTACGCATGAGCTCCGTCAATCCATCCATAAAGGAGGAGGGGGGGGGAGCCCACTTCAACTCCAATGTGAGAAGACTATAGGATAACGTTGTGTTGCTATTACGCATTTGCCCTGTTAACAACTGGCTCCCAAAACGTGGAGACAATCCAGAGTGAAGAGGGACATTTGCTAATAACCCCATAGCGTTTTGCCCAGACCGCTACCCAATTACCTATGTACTGCTAATTGAATACTTGCAAGGGCAAACTTCCGTTTATTGTGTGACTGTGAAGCCCACGTGTAAATTGGTGTCTTTTCTCTCCCGCAGTATATTTTCGGGGAGTTCAGCCATGAAGAGGTGCAACAATACTTCCAGAACTCGCACATTTCCGTGGAGGTGAGTACCCCAGAGGTCCCCGACTACCTTCTCAAGTGCAGTCCGTGTGTGTGTGTGTGCACAATGACACGCACGCACAGTCGTTGGTTTAAGCCATACGTCTCCGGCATTTCAACAGAGAATTGGAGATAAAGTGCTGCTGCTGCTGCTGCTGCCACTGTTTGCACTTTGCACACAAGACGTGCGGGACACCCGAGTGCTAGTCTATACAATACAATGTGGATTTACATAGCATCTACACGTGACCACATCCCAAGATGCTGTACTTAAACAGTGGTTGTAGTTCATCTTCTTGGTTCTTTCGGTAAAGTCACGTAGAATGGAAATAATAAAACAATAAAAATTAAACATAATAAAATAATTCTCACGACGTTTCGGCCACAACGCAAGCAGCCGTCCTCAGGTGAAGAACAGGTCTGTCGATAAGACAGTCTGAATGACACGTCCTAGGCTTGGAGCATCTATTTAAGCTGGGAGGGAGGAGGAAGAGCGCCTTGACAAAAACATTTGCATATCCTCCTCCCTCCCAGCTTAAATAGACGCTCCAAGCCCAGGGCGTGTCATTCAGTCTGTCTTATCGACAGACCTGTTCTTCACCTGAGGACGGCTGCTTGCGTTGTGGCCGAAACGTCGTGAGAATTATTTTATTATGTTTTATTTTTATTATTTTATTATTTCCATTCTACGTGACTTTACCGAAAGAACCAAGAAGATGAATCCCTGCAGTCACGAAAGCTTTAAATCGAAGTGGTTGTAGTTATTAAGAGGGAGCGAGAGAGAGAGAGGCAGTCGTAGGCAGAGGCAAAAAGGAAGATCTTGAGCCCTGACCATCGGACAGTTCGTCGTCAGCAGCACGGGATTGCCGAGGGAAGGCAACCCCAAACAAACGGGGGCAGTGGAAGTGAATTGAGAATTAATGCAGCTGCGCTTATCCCCCGTTTACAGCCCCTGCGCCAGGTGGAAATGCCACTAATCTTGGGCAGAGCGGAGTCTATTCATAGGGCAATCACTGTTAACTTCAACCACAAAGTGACACTGATTTTACGAGATGAGCCGGTGTGAATAAAAAGGGGTGTTGGACTCGCAGCAATGGTGGGCCACGGTGAAGGAATTGCTGTTCTCTCACTTATTGACATTGTTTTCCCTGCTGTGATGGGGTATTTCTTTCTCTCGTAATCTCCAGAAATTAATGTAAATGCTTCACCCCGAGCTCTCAATACTCTGATGGTGCGTTGTCTTTGAGTTGTGCGCCTTTGGCGTCATCTGGTCCAACACCATGTGAGACTAGGCTCTAAGAAAAGCTGTGTAGGGTGTAGACAAATCAATTTCAAGGACTGCATTCATTATCAGAGTTTCTTTTTGTTTGCATTTTGACCGCAAGTGTTGTGTTGTGGTTAATGCAACCATGATCCCTTGTATAAAGGTGTCAGTTTTGTTGCCAGTTAACAGGGTAAAAACCTATTACTATATCTCCAGAAATTGTTGACTTTTTAAAATTCTCACACCGCTTGCAAATGAATTGCCGATTTTAACAGCTTCCTCTCAAAATTTTTTTTGTGTTTGGGGCAGCTTCCTCCATGCTCGGAAGACACGGATGATGATGATGCGACAGGCCATACTGGTAAGACAAACAAGGACGTGTCGCTTCTAGATTTGAAGCTTTCGTGACTGCAAGGATTCATATTCTTGGGTTTTTTCGGTAAAGTCACGTAGGTAAAAAATTTAAATTTTAATTAAATAAAAAATCATGACGTTTCGGAGGCAACACAAGCCTCTGTCTTCAGGTGGAACCGTCACAGCACGCTCGCCGTATCAAGTAAATGAGAAATTCCAAGAGATCCGACCCCGTATATATACTTTTCTTTGCCGTTGACGTGGTATACGGATGACTGACGGTGCCAGTCGTACGTTTGAGGGATGCCCTGGAATAGCTTTAACTGACAAAAGTTTGTCGTCCAGCTAGTAGGGTTTCGTTGAGCGCGCTAGCTTTTGATTAAGTGGATGAACAAATAATTATTTACACACGTTCAATGAGCGTCATTGTCAGCGAAACACCCTTGTATCCGCAAAATACAAAGCAGCATCACTCCCTACTGCAACCTCCGACAAGCACGGTTGGCTACGTCCGGTGCGAAGGAAGTTCTACGTGTTTCCAAAACTACTGCCGACAATGCCCGTCTGTGAAACGTGTAGCGCCTTTTGTGATGGTGTTGCACCGTAACAAATGGCGTCAGTACCAAACGTGCCCGTGGCGAGAATGAATGTTTATTCGCAGTTGCGCATCTGCCAAGTGATAATTGGCAATTGGGTGAATTGTTACGTGCCTTAATTGTGACGCTAAAACAAGCGCGTAAAGAAGCGTGGAGATGTGCCCGCTCGGAGTGACGTTGAGGCGCGGAAAGAGTGGCTCGTGGCTTTGGGTGAAGGGCAAGTGAATGACGTTCAGACTGTTAAGAAAAGTAACGATTTACACCATTGGAACCTCATTTGCCAGTAAAAAATATGATAATTGGTTGTTTTACCCTTTTATCTGGCAACAAAACTGACAAGGAGTCATGTTTGCATAGACCACAATACCTGCAGTCATAATGCAAACAAAAAACACAACTCTGATAATGTATGCACTGTCCTTGAAGTTGATTGGTCCACACCCGAGACAGCTTTCCTTAGAGCCTAGTCTCACATGGTGTTGGACCAGATGACGCCAAAAGGCGCACAGTGCGCAACTTCAAGGACAGTGCATACATTATCAGTTATGTTTTTTGTTTGCATTATGACTGCAGGTATTGTGGTCTATGCAAACATGACTCCTTGTAAAAAAAAGTGTCAGTTTTGTTGCCAGATAAAAGGGTAAAAAACAATTATCAAAAGTATCGATGTAAATAAGTGGACAAATGCACCTTTATATATCTGTCCCGTAAAATAATTAAGTTTATGTATTTTTTGCACATCTCATCAGCAAACATGGCCTTCCGGAAGTGCATTATTTCAAGAGCGCGTCGCTAGAAGGGATGATCGTGGGTGGTGGAGGCGAGCGACAGTGGTAGTCGAACGTAAACTGAACTAACAAAACTATTTTTTATTTGACCAGGTAAGGCCCCACTGAGCTATATAGTTCCTTTTCATAAGCGACCTGGCCACAATTGATATCTCAATGAGTGGCTCATCACGTGGAAATGTATAGCAGCCAAATACTCTAAACGCGTGTTTCTAACGTGGAGAGAATAACTGGAGGACCCGGAGAAAAATCTACCCGACCACGGGGAGAACACGCAAACTCCATATATACAGGCATCAGGGTCTGGATCGAACCCACAACATCCTGAAAACCAGGCGAGGTAGTTAGCATCTCCCCCACTGTAGCGAGACGATACCCAGCACAGAGACGGAGCCATCAAATCGGCTCGTTCTCAGGAGTTGTTGTGGATTGTTAATTTTATCGCGAGACCACGAGCGGTGACGACGGCTCCGGGGGGTAGACCTTCGTCCAGTCGTGAGCAAAATCCACGCAACCACGACGATGAATCGTGACACCGCCTTAACCTGGCTTCTGCCCTGTCCTCACAGGGGGCGACTGTTCCGAGCCGGCCGGGGGGCTCGTGAGCAGCAACGGTGGAGACAACTCGGTCGAGGGCTCCCCTCCTGACGAGGCGGGGGGGCCCAGCACGCTCAACCCACGAGCCCCCGAGTTCTGCCTGCCGCTCGACCAGCCCGCCACCGCCTTCCCTCGCCAGCCGGCCCCGCCACCGTTCACGCCGGTGCCGATGATCGCTTGCCGGACCGCCGCCGCGGCGGCCGCCGTCATTGCCGCTCCTCTGGCGGGAGACCCGGCGCCGCCGCCGCCCAACGGCTCCGTTCACGCGGCGCCGCCGTCGATGGGCCCGGCTGCCCCGCTGACGTTTGGCCACCCGGTGCCGACCGCCGCCCTGCGGCTGCCCCTGTTCGTGCCGTCGCAGGCGGCCCTTGCCGGCGCGGAAGCGGCGCCGGTCGTGGTGCCGCGGCCGCTGGTGCCGGTCCACGCCCTGCCCGTGGGGCTGGCGCCGACGGCCACCGCGTTCTTTGGCAGCGCCCACACGGCGCCCGTCGTGCTGCTGCAGCCGCTGCCGGCGTTCAACAACGGCGACGAGATGAGCGCCGGCGAAGGTGCGACGGCGAGCACACGCGCACGCACGCACACGCACGCACACGCACGCACACGCGTGAACGCACACGCACGCACACGCACGCGTGTATGTGTAAGCCCACGTGCTGGCGCGCACAGGAGCGCAGGCACCACCGATACTTGACCGTCATGGCATCATGAAACCTCTCTCCCTTCCTTCTCTCTCCATACGGTCTCAGCCGGCGCGGACGGGAACGGCGATGGTTCCAGTCGCAGCTCTGGCGGCCCGCGGGAGCGGCGGAACAAGAAAAAGCGGCCCCCCAGCTACTACCGTTACCAGGACGGTGAGGGGCGCGGGCGCCACACGCCACGCCACGCACGGGCGCCACACGCACCAGTACCCACAGTTGGCGCTCACATCAACGCGCACGGTGGCACACAACGATCGGGTGTGAAGGGGACACCACGGTGATGCACTCGGCTGCTCATGACGCGGTTATCTGGTCTCGCTGGTACACGCTGGTACACGCTGGTACATGCTGGTACACGCTGGTACACGCTGGTACACGCTGGCCCGTACCGCTGCTGTTGGGGGGTGCGGCATGTGGAGTGACGTTACACACAGACATTCTTGGCTCGGTGGCGATGTTTATACACCTCACCGGGTACTCATTTGAGGCTAAGTTGACCTAGGGGAGGCTCAGAACCGGTTCAGATAATCCTGGTGTTGGCCGTGAGCGAATCGAACTCGGGTCGCCGGGTCCATGGCGCAAGGCGCTAACCGCTGCGCTTGCTAGAGCGGCACGCTGTCTGGCCCGCGCTCCATTCACGCGCGCTCTCCACCCGCAGGCACCGGCGCGATGAACGGCATGTCATGTGCCGACGACGGCGACGAGGCCTCTCCGGACGCCCCCTTCGCACCGCCTCCGCCGCAGGGGGCGGCGCCCCCCCCCCACCAGGGCCAGCTCTCCTCCTCGCCGCTCCCCCCATCGCAGGATCTGCAGCCGCAGCGCCGACAACCCCCCGAGGCGTCTGTGCCGGTGCCCCGTCCCGCCGAGCCCACCGAGCAGCCGGCGCCGCTCTGCAAGCAGCCCGTGCCGGTGGTGCCGCCGGCCGCCGTGCTCCCGCCGGTGCCGTCCGCCTTGCCGGCCCCGCCGCAGAGCGCCGCTCAGCCGACCGAATTGCCGGGCATCGGCGGTCCGCAGGGCCAGCCGCCACCGCCGGTGGTGATGATGATGCTGATGAACGGCCCGCAGGGGCTGCCCGTTGAGGCGCTGTTGGTGAACCAGCTGGGCATGGCGGCTGTCCCTGGGGTGCCGGTTGTGCCCTCGACGGCGCCCATGACGGTGCCAATGACGGTGCCCCTGCTGGTGCTCCCCCAGCGCACGCCGCCGGTCGTGATGTCCGTCGCGCCGCAGGCGGCCGTGCAGCTGGTGGCGCCGGTGCCGCAGGCGCCTGCCGCACAGCCGCAGCAACCGACGCTGTGCCTGCAGCAGAAGCCGCAGCAGCCACAGCAGCAGCCGCAGCCAACGCCGCCGCAGCAGCAGCAGCCACAGCAGCAGCAGCAGCCACAGCAGGTTGGGAACAGCAGCAGCAGCTTGATCATGCTGGCCACACGAGGCGCCCACCAGCTCCCCGTCAGCGCCATCCGCACCGGCGGCAGCTTCAAGTTCGGCGGCGACACCAACTTTGCGGACGTGAGCGGGCGCCAGCGCGAGAGCCCGCCCGTCGTGTTCACCAACGCGCGCACCGTGCCCAGGGCGGCGCTGCTACGGGACGGCGCAGCGTTGGCACCGATGGCGCCACCCGTCGGAGACCGGCGCTCGTCCTCGGCGCCCGGCGACGCCGCCGCCAAGCTCCCCAGGCCGATGGCCACCATCGCCCCGATCTCTTTCGGCCCCGCCATGCCAGCGCTGTCCGAGGTCGTGACGCTGCCCCCGGCTGCCGCCGACCGCCAGCAGCGCGCGAGCGGCGCTGCCGGCAACGCGCCGGCACCGGCTCGGCCGCGCGAGGAGCAGGTGGTGCCCGTGGCGGCGGTGGCGCCCAACGCCCCGCGCTGCGGCGAAGCCCGGAAAGGTTCGGCGCAGCTCAACGGCGTGGAGACGGCACCGGCGAGGCTCGGCGCGAACACGAACGCGGCGGCGGCGCCGGCCGGCGGCACCGCCGCTACCGTCGGCGGAGGCGGTCGCCCGGCGGTGTCGGTGCCGGCCGCGGCCTCCCTGGACCCACGGCCGCACACGCCGACCCTTGCTCACGGTGGCTCGTCCTGCCTCACCGAGGCGTCCGCCGTAGGGAGGGATGCTCCAGCGGCCGTTGCTCCGGCGAAAGATGCTCAAGCGAGCGCGGTAGGAAGAGAAGCGCCTGCTGCTCCTGCAGGGAGACCGGCGCCAGCAGCAGCCGTTACTGCTGCAGGGAGAGAGCCATCAGCTGGTGCTGGCAGCAGAGAGGCACCGGCCGTTGCCGCTGCCGCTGCTGCTGCTGTTGTCGCGGGGCAAATCTACTGCTGCAGGCGACGCAGCGGCTCACGACGCCAGGCCACAGCCGCCGGCACTCCCCGGCGTCAAGACCTGGGCCAGCCTCTTCAGTGCCAGCAAGCCAGCCGCGCCGTCACCGGGGCCCGGCACCACCGCTCGCGTCGACCAGCCCGTCGGGGACTGCAAGGCGGGGGCGGGGGGGGAAAGGAGCCCGGGGTCGCAGGAGGCGCCCGTGCCGCAGACAGCGCCGTCGCACAAAGCTGGGCCCGTGTCGGTGGCCGAGGACTCCTGTGCCGCCAGGATAGCCGGTGAGGCTCTAGTGGCGAATGGCAGTTGTCGTTGTTGCATACGTGCTCACTAACGGCACTTTTGCCACGACAATCTGTTAGTAAAGGCATTACAAAAAGCCTCGACGACAGTGTTGAAGGCTACACGGGGGATCTTTGTTTTTGTGTATTTGTGTGTGCGCGCGTGTGTGTTCAGAGCTCCTGTCGTTGACGCCGTTGTCCTACAAGCCGGTCTCCGTGCAACCACGCGGGCTGATCAATCGGGGCAACTGGTGCTACATCAACTCCGTATCCTTGGCAACGCCAAACCCATCCACACCAGCAGACAAACATGGACGAGACAGGCGTACGGACAGCCGCACATAAAGGCCGGCACGGCACCCCCCTCCCGTGTACCCGGTGTGTGTGTGAGTGCGCGCAAGTGTGTAGGGAGCGGTGGTGTAGCGGTTAGCGCGCTGCGCTACGAACCCGGCGACCCGAGTTCGATTCCCTCTCACGGTTACAACAAGTGCCGATTATTTGAACCGTTCATAAGCCTGCCCTTAGGTCGACTCAACCTAAATTGAGTACCTGGTGTGGGGTGTAAACATCACCACTGGGGAGACAAAGGTGGCCGGGCGTAGTGCTGGCCACTGCACACCCCCTGGTGTGCCACAGTGCCGGCCTTCATAGGCACTAGTCGCTATAACAGCACTTGCCCCAACAGTCTGTTATGGTTCTAGATTTGAAGCTTTCGTGACTGCAACGATTCATACTCTTAGGCTTTTTCGGTAAAGTCACGTAGGTAAAAAAATAAAATTAATAGTAATAATAGAAATAAAATAATAAATCCGTCATCAGGTGGGACCGTCACAGCTAAAATTACTGCATCGAGTGAGGAAAAATTCCAAAAGACCAGCCCTTAAATACAAGTTAAGTTATGGCTTTTCGGGGGGGGGTGTGGGGTGGTGTGTGTTGGAGGTCGGGGGATTCTTTGTCGTTGGTGTTGTGACCTTGACCGCGTGCACAGACCCTGCAGGTGCTTGTAGCTTGCGCACCGCTCTACCACCTGCTGCGCGCGCTGCCCCTGTATGGCGACGGCGAGCGCCCCGCCAGCGCCACGCCCATGCTGGACGCGTTGTGAGTGTGCGCAGAGAAGCGTGGGGGGTGGGACGGGGAGGGGAGGGGGGGCGGTTGTGGTTGGAGGCGATCTGGCGAGGTTAGCGAGCCGAGCGGTGAAACCCGGCGACATTCCCGCTCACGGCCAACATCGGCGACTAGAATATGAACCGGTCGTGGGGCTTCCCCAGGTCGACTCGGCCCTATACGACAGAGGTCGCAAACGGGGTTTGATTCCTTACCTGTACCCGTACCCGGCCGCACCAGGGTCGCAAATGGGTACCCGTACCCGGCCGGGTACGGGGTACCCGTTCCCTACCCGTACCCTACCCGAAATGAGTGACAAACGGTTACTCACCGGTGACTCACGGCCTACCCGTACCCGGCCGCACCAGGGTCGCAAACGGGTACCCGGCCGGGTACGGGTAGCCGGGTACGGGTAGCCGGGTATCGGGTAGGGTACGTGTATCGGGTACCCGGTTGCGACCTCTGCTATACGAGTATCTGGTGTGTTGTGGGAAAAAAAACATGAGCACGGGGGCATAATGTTGGCCACCCACCCCCCTAGCGTGTCATGCCCGCCTTCATAGAGGCTCGCTCGTAGCAGGGGGGGAATCTTCGTTTTTTCGGTGGCGGGAGGGGGATGGCGGGGGGGGGGGCACGTACCCACATCTGGGTAACTAACATGCGGGTACACGTGCACGTTTGCGAGTGTGGGGAGCGGTGGCGCAGCGGTTAGCGTGCTGCACGACGAACCCGGCGACCCGAGTTCGATTCCCGCTCGCGGCCAAACACCACAGTGACGGTTATTCTGAGCCAGTCCTGGGCCCCTCCCCTAGGTAGACTCGGCCTCAAAATGAGTACCTGGTGCGGTGTGTAAACATCGCCACTGGGGAGACAAAGGCGGTCGGGCGTGGTGCTGGCCACCCACCCCCTCGTGTGCCGTTGCGGCCTTCATAGTTGCTCGCTAACAGCACTTGCCCCTACAGTCTGTTAAGGCTACACGGCGGAGGATCTTTGTATGCGGGGAGTGATAGTGAAGTAGACTAAATTGTCTTCAGAACATGAGAATTCCCCGCACGCACGCACGCGTGTGTGCGTGTGGCGTGTGTGCGTGTGTGTGCGCGCGAATGTAACGTCTCGTGTGTGTGCGCGTGTTTCCAGTGTCCGGCTCATGAAGGAGTACGGATCGATGCTGCCGCCATCCAAGCCCAAGACCGGTGAGTCGCGTGGCGTCAAACATCGCCAGCGGGTGGCGCCACCGACACGGCCTGCGTGGCGCCACGCCACACGCGGCGGCGCGCTGCTAGTTTAGCGCGCCTGGCATTCGTGCCATTCTTAGAGTGCGAGGCTGGCACGGAGGCGCTACGTTTCACAGATGGGTATAGTTTGCCAGTTGGGGGATTTGTTCAGAATCGGAATCTTTATTTGTCCCGGACAAATCCGGCGAGCTGTGAAGCCGTTTTGCACAGATGTCGAGTCGAGCAACTCGGCCGTGCCCGGTTCGCTCACGCCCCACTCGGTTGCACTCGGGTTGTCAATCGATGATCACGTTTTTGACGATCGTTTACAGAATCGATTCTTCTTCGGTGCCCGCTGCAGCCCGTTAAAGGGTATTAATTCCCCACAACGACTCTGATGAATTCTTCCTTCTTAATTTGACTCTTGGGTCGGATCGCCGCCTGAGTAAACTGCCACTTTGTATCCTACACCCTCCTCCACCCAAGCGTTAATGAACAGATCGCCGACACTTAACCCCTTTCCTGTACCGAGTCGTCTCTTAAGTTGCAGGGTGGTGTCGCCGCTCGCCGCTGAATCTCGGAGCGCGCGATCGGCTCGGCGTTTATTTTGCTTGGGGAGGCGTAGCGTCGCGGAGAACTACGGCGACACGACCGCACTGTGTGATGGCTGACGCCGAACTCGGCCACACGGCCTCCCGCACGGCGTTGTGTGAACGTTTATAAATATTTTACTCTTCCTCTTGGTTCTTTCGGTAAAGTCACGTAGAAGGGAAGTAATAAAATAATAAAAATAAAACATAATAAAATAATTGTCACGACTTTTCGGCCACAACGCAAGCAGTTGTCCTCAGGTGAAGCATATTTATGGGAAATGCATATCCCATAAATATGCTAAATTCCTCTTGATATGCAAATTATTTTGTCAAGGCGCCCTTCCCCCCTTCCAACCCAGCTTAAACATACGCTCCAAGCGTGGTGGTGTTTCATTCAGACGCTGTCTCCCCGACAGACCTGGTCTTCACCTGAAGGACGGCTGCTTGCGTTGTGGCCGAAACGTCGTGAGAATTATTTTATTATGTTTTATTTTTATTATTTTATTATTTTCCTTCTACGTGACTTTACCGAAAGAACCAAGAGGATGAATCCCTGCAGTCACGAAAGCTTTAAATCGAAATTTTTACTCCGATGACGCGCGTGTACGTCATCGGAATGGCAAAGGGTTAACAGCCGTAGCTGCCGACTCGCCACACTGAGCTTCCCTCCCTTTTTCAGCTGGACCCCCGGAGAAGAGCAAAGACCTTCGCGTGGGCTCGCCCTTCGAGCCGGCCTTCATCTACAAGCTGCTGTCAATCGTCAAGTCCAGCTTGTGCGACAAGGTGTGACGTGTGACGTGTGATGCGTGCGTTACGCGTACGCCTTTGGCCGTGCACGTCCAGGCGCTTGCGTTTGTGTGTACGCGCGTGCATGGTAGCCTGGTGCTGATCGCTCGCCACCGGTGCTGATGAGCGCGTGACCTGTGCCCCGTCCCCCACAGGGCCGTCAGGAGGATGCGGAGGAGTTTCTGGGCTTTGTGATTAACGGGCTGCACGACGAGATGCTGTCGCTGCGCCGGCTGGACAGCGCCGACGGTGAGCATCAGACGCGCGCCGGGGTCACGCGGACACGCGGATGCGCAGATGCGCTCGGGACACCAGGATACACCAGGACAAATGTACACTGACATCGGGTTGCACTGACACTTGGACAAATACACAGCTAGATACCAGGACACGCAGATACGAGGACACACGGACACGTAAACACATGTACGCACGGTCATCGAAACCGCAAGGCAGACCACACCTAGACAACAACACACAGTCCCTCAATGCAATTGACGCACACAGAGAGTCGTACACGCACAGACACCGGGACCACCTCCTCTTGAAAAGCTGACGTGTGCGGCGCTTGACCGACCCCCGCTGGTGCTTGACCTTCCTCTGCTAGGAGCTGCGACAAACGGCGTGGCCTCCGATGGGGCCAGCTCTGACGGCTGCCCCGAGGGGGGTGCGGAGGCCGGTGGGCCCCGTGGTGCCCATGGTAATGGCAGAGGGTTGCAGCTGGAGGACAGCGATGGTCATGGCCAGCGTGCCAACAACGAGAAGGGTGGTGAGGAGGAGGAGGAGGAGTGGGAGCAGGTCGGGCCGCGCAACCGCTCGGCCATCACACGCTCCGCCGAGTTCGTGCGCTCGCCCATCACCGACATCTTCGGTGGATGCATCAGGTGGGTCCCTCACCCTCCCCTCCACCTCACCTCCACCACCTCTCAGCCGAGCTCCTCTTCCCCGGCCGACTGCGCTGGGTCGTTGTGCCGGCCCGTGCGTGTCACGTGACGTTGGGGCGGTTTTCTGGGTAAACGCGACGACCGCTTTCCGCGGTGCCGTGATGTCAGCCTTGCGTGCGTGTGCGTGCCTCGGTGTGTGTGCGCGCGAGTGTGTGTGTTCTGCGTAATGTAGTCGTTAACACAACCGTGCTTGAACCTGCTAACGACCAACAATGTTGTCCGCCAACGGCACTTGAGCCCGACAGTCCATTAAATGCTACACTGTGGCGGTCTTTGCGTGCGTGTGTGTGCGTGCCTACGTGCGTGCGTGCAGGTCGGCCGTGTACCAGGCGGGAGTGAAGGAGTCGGCGACGCTGCAGCCGTTCTTCACGCTGCCGCTGGACGTGAGCGCGGAGCGCGTGTGGACGCTGCGCGACGCGCTCGAGGGCTTGGTGGCACGCGAGGCCGTGCAAGGGTACACCACCAAGAACCGGCAGGAGGTAACCGCAGACAAACTTTCTCCCTTCCCCTCCATGACATCGCCAGCGATGCACCGTCGGGGCAAGTGCTGTCACAGCGAGCGCACGAGGGGATCGGTGACCAACACCACGCCCGGCCGCTTTTGTCTTCCCAGCGCTGCTGTAGTTTGCGCACGCCGCACTAGGTACTCGTTGAGTAGCGGAGGCCCGGGACCGGTTCAAATACTCGCCACCGTTTTAGCGAGTATTTGCCCGTATAAAATGTTGGGGCAAGTGTTGTTAGCGAGTAACACCTATGAAGGCCGGCCCGGCACACGAGGGGGTGGGTGGCCAGCACCACCCCCGACCGCCTTTGTCTCCCCAGTGGCGATGTTTACACACCGCACCAGGTACTCATTTGAAGCTGAGGCGACTTAGGGGAGGCCCAGGACGGGTTCAGAATAATCGTCACTGGTGTTGGCCGTGAGCGGGCAATGAAACTCGGGTCGCTTGCTCGGTTGCGCGCGGTCTGTTCACCGAGCGGAGGTTCACCCTGGCGTCCGCGTGCGATCTTGACAGCGCGCCCCCCACCACCCCACCCACCCTGCTTCCCCTCCACCCCACTTCCCCCCACCACCCCCACCACCCCACCCACCCCACTTCCCCCCCCCACACCTACCGCCCGGCGCACTTGACTTGTGTGCCGCGGCGTCGGAGGCTGCGTGGCTGAGCGGCCGTGTTTACTGAAGCTCGCGTGTGAACCCACCCGCGCCAAGCGTGGGCCCCCAGCGAGAGGGGGGCCCTGGCGAGGTTCCCTCTCGGCGGTGATGTCGGCACGCGCTCGGTGTGGCGATGCCGCGGCCGTGGCTCGGGGCGGCGGGGGGATGGGCCCATCACGGCCGAACCGGGGCCCCTCGTGTCCCTGTTAAGGGTGTCGTGATGTTAACCACCTCGCCTGGTCGCTCGTCCAGAGTATTTGGCTGCTAAACAATTCCACGTGATTGATAAGCCACTTCGTTCAGCTATCAGTTGTGGCCAGGTCGCTTCTGAAAAAAAGATACATAGCTCAGTGAGCCTTGCCTGGTAAAATAAAAACTAGTTTAAAAAGTTATTTATAAAAAAACCCCTGACCCCGCCGGCATGGAGATTACCCCCCTTCTCTTCCCTTCCCCTCCTCCCTCCCACCCCGTTCTGCCCTTGCCCTCACCGCCCGCGCTGTCTCTCGCCACGTACACCTTTGCTGCCTGCCCTGTGCTGTGGGCCACTCTGTGCTTGCGTAGGATGGACTGGTTTGTGCGGCGTGTGCGTGCGTGCGTGTATCGGTGTGTGTGTGTGTGTCAATGCATGGCATCTGGGCCTCTCCCGTGACATACCTGTGAGAGCCTTAAGCCCTTCACATGGCCCCAGAGTGAACTTAGCCTGGCACAATCGCCATGATAATTTTGTGTGTTTCCGCGCGCGTGTCTGTGTGTGCGCGCGTGTCTTATGGCCTGGTGTGGTGTGTAAACATCGCCACTCGGGAGGCAAATGCGGCCGGGGCGTGGTGTTGGTCACCCACCCCTTCGTGCGTCGTGCTGACCTTCATAGGCGCTGCTCGCTATCGGCACTTGCCCCAACAGTCTGTTAAGGTCTACGCTGGGTGATCGTTAGCTCATGGGTATGCACCGTCCCACTGCGTGCCGTGCGTTTTCCCACGCACGTGCGTGTGCGCTGTGCCTCCGTGCGCGTTTGAGCAGGTGGAGGTGTGTCGTCGCATCACGCTGGAGGAGCTGCCGCCGGTCCTCGTGCTGCATCTCAAGCGCTTTGTCTACGACAAAACCGGCGGCTCGCAAAAGCTGCTCAAGGCCATCGACTACCCCCTAGAGCTGGAGATCAGCAAGGGTGAGGCAGACAGACTCACTCAGCCATGCAGACACTCACTCAGCCATGCAGACACTCACTCACTCAGCCAGGCAGACACTCACTCAGCCAGGCAGACACTCACTCAGCCAGGCAGACACTCACTCAGCCAGGCAGACACTCGCTCAGCCAGGCAGACACTCACTCAGCCCGGCAGACACTCGCTCAGCCAGGCAGACACTCACTCAGCCCGGCAGACACTCAGCGAGGCAGATACTCACTCAGCCAGGCAGACACTCACTCAGGCAGGCAGACACTCACTCAGGCAGGCAGACACTCACTCACTCAGTCTGGCAGACACTCACTCAGCCAGACAGACACTCACTCAGCCAGGCAAACACTCACTCAGCCAGGCAGACACTCACTCAGCCAGGCAGACACTCACTCAGCCAGGCAGAGAGACACTCACTCAGCCAGGCAGAGAGACGCGTTGTTATGCGTGCAGCCAGACTCAAAGCCGGTCGGATGCATGCATCCAGGTCGAGGCTCAATTCCTGAGGTGAGAGAAGGCTTTGCCAATAAGACGATCAGAGTCGTTGGAGCTATTTCAGTGCCGTCTTGAAATCTCGCCTCTTCAACCTGGCCATTGAGCCCCTCCTAGTTCTGGCCGTTTATCCCTGCAGCCTCTGTTTGTTTCCGGGCTTTGCGTAGACGGTGGCGCATTGGGATCTGCGAGCGAAATGCCCCTCACAAATGTGAAGTGTTCTTGTTGTTGTCGATGTGTGCCACGCTGATTGTTCCTCTGCTGGGGTCTGTGTGGTGCCTCCCAGACCTGCTCTCCCCAATTGCCAAGGTGAAGCTTTCCAAGGGCCAGAGGAGCTACCGTCTGTTTGCCGGTGAGTGTTGGCTGTCCTTTTCGTCTGGCTGTCTGTGAGTGGGGCCGTCTGTGAGTGTATCTGTGAGTGTGGTTGTCTGTGAGCGTGGCTGTCTGAGCGTGGTTGTCTGTGAGCGGGGCCGTCTGTGAGTGTATCTGTGAGCGTGGCTGTCTGAGCGTGGCTGTCTGTGAGTGTGGTTGTCTGTTAGTGTATCTGTGAGTGTGGCTGTGTCTGAGGCTGTATCTGCGAGTCTGGGTGTCTGCGAGTGTCGTGTAGACGCGTCGATTCGTTGTGTTTTGTCGACATGTCATGTCGTGTTGATGCATCACGTCGTGTTGATGCGTTGACGCATTGTTGTGTTGACGAGCCGCCTTGTGTTGACGCGCCGCCGCGTGGTGACTAACGCATCGCTTTGTTGCGCTGACGTTGCCGCGTCGCCCCGCGCAGTGACGTGTCACCACGGCGGCACGGCGACGGGCGGCCACTACACTACGGACGTGCAGCACGTCGGCCTGGGCCTGTGGCTGCACTACGACGACCAGGGCGTGCGCCCCACGGCGCTCTCCGCAGTGCTCAAGCCCGTGCTGCCTCGCACCGCCTACTTGCTCTACTACCGCCGCGCAGACGTGCAGTGAGAGGGGGACACGACCCCCGACGTGGTCGTAGCGGCGCCCGCTGCCACCCCCCCCCATCCTACCCCACCCACACCGGCGCCAGCTGCCTCCGCGCACCCGAGGCTGGACGTTCGCGACGACGACGACGGTGACGGTGGTGACGATCGCGGGGACACGAGTTTCAAGCGTCACTCGGACGAGGGGCGGGCTCGTCGGCTCGCTCGACTCCTCCGCTGCCCGCCCCTACAACCCTTCCTCCCCACTGTCAAACAGAAATCTCTGAGCCACGTGACTTCTCACCACCGCCGCCCCCCCCCCTGCGTGCCGGTCGCGGTGCTGCCGGTGTCGAGGCTCGCGGAAGATCGTCGGATGTCGGACGACGTTCCACATGGGGGTGGTGGAGGAGGACTCCCCCACGCTGCCAGAGCTTCGTGCGTGCGCACGCACACCGCAAACCCGCCTCGCCCGCCTCGCCCGCCTCGCCCGCCTCGCTCGCCTCTCCTGCGCGCGAGAAACCTTTCGACTGAATCGTCGGAAAAAGAACCTTTGAAAAAGAATATTTTCAAAAAAATAATAATTATCGTGTGACTTCAAGTCCGTTTGTCTCGTACGCCCAATGGAGTTCAGCGGCAGAATGTGGCAAGGTGTCAATCTAGTGCCCCCCCCCCCCACCAAATTGCTCACAGGACACCTGTGGGCCCCTCCCAAGAGCTCACGAGACACTTGAGCTCACAGGACACCTGGGGGGGGGCCCAAGAGCTCACAGGACACCTGGGGGGGGGCCAAGAACTCACGAGACACTTGAGCACACAGAACACCTGGGGGGGGGGCCATGGAGCATACAGGACACCTGGAGGGGCCCCCAAGAGCTCACAAGACACTTGAGCTCACAGGACACCTGGGGGGGGGGGCATGGAGCATACAGGTCACCTGGGGGATCCCCAAGAGCTCACGAGACACTTGAGCTCACAGGACACCTGGGGCCCAGAGAGATCACAAGACCCACCAGGCCCCCCCCCCGCAGCCCACGTGATACCGACGGGGTGGCACACGGGGTCACACACACACACACGTGGTGGTACACACACACACGTGGTGGTACACACACACACGGGGTGGTACACACACACCTGGTGGTAGACACACGTGGTGGTACACACACCTGGTGGTAGACACACGGGGTGGTACACACACACACCTGGTGGTAGACACACGGTGGTACACACACACACCTGGTGGTAGACACATGGGATGGTACACACACGAGGTGGTACACACACGAGGTGGTACACACACACGAGGTGACACACACGAGGTGACACACACGGGGTGGCACACGGGGTGGTACACACACACACGGGGTGGTACACACACACACGGGGTGACACACGTGGTGATACACACGCACACGTGGTGGTACACACGTGGTGGTACACACACACGTGGTGGTACACACACAGACACGGGATGACACACGTGGTGGTACACACACACACACACGTGGTGCACCCATTGGGGGCTGCAGGGACCTGAGCCCCCCCCCCCTCGCCTCTCGCGACGTGCACGAATCCGTCCCGTCGGCCTAGCGTACTCGATTGAGTCTGAGAAGCGGGGGGCGTGGGTGGTGGGGGCCGGGAGGGGGGGGGGGGCTGCACTGCGTGTGGGGTGGAGGAGCCGCAGACGCCCCCCCCCCCCCCCTTGGGGAGGTGCTGCCCCTCTGGGAATGGTAGCCGGGGGGCGCTGTTGTAGTCGACACGCGTGGCACCATGGAGCGACATGTGTGGCACGGAGCGTGGCACGGAGCGACGCGCGGAGCGACGTGCGTGGCACGGGCTCCGGCCGTAGTTTATTGTTGGGTGGGGGGGGGGGCTGGGGGGGTGTGTTTGCGTGGGGGTTTTTGTTGTTGTTGCTTCCCCCTCTCCCTAATTGCGTTTTGCTTGTTTGTGTTCATTTCTTTTAGCTGCGCTTGAGTGCGGTCGGTGCGCAGCGGCGTCCTAGCGTGCACACGCACACACACTCGCACTCACTCGCTCACACGCACGCTCGCACACACGCACACACTCGCACACACGCTCACGCACACACTCACTCGCACACGCGTGCACACTCGCACGGCGGGAGTGTGAGTTGACGACGGGAGACTGATGAGTGAGGGTCGTGCACACGCCTCGCTTAACCTCCCCCCCCCCCCCCCTCTGCCACCTCTGGGATCTCACAATCGTGGGTCCCTTCTTTTAGGTCCGCCGGGGGGGGGGGGGGGGGGGCTAACTCCCCATCGCGTCGTCGCAGGGTGGGGGGAGTGGGAACGGGGAGTGGTGTTGATAATTGGCACGCGTTCTTTTGGTTGCGTTGTTGGATTAGCTCACCGAATGAAATACTGTAAGGTGTGGGTTTTATTTTTTAATGACACCTTGAAGGCTTGGCCTGGTTTGTGCGTTGCCCCCCCCCCCTCTCTCTCCGCCATTGAGTTGCCTAATAAAGCGATCTGCCAGCCTCAGGTGTGCCTCTCACGTTGTTGGGTACCGGAGTAGAAGTGGGGGGGGGGGGGGGGTGAACAAAGCTGGCATGGGTAAGGAGAGCACATCTAAAAACGGTATCTGTTTAAAATGGCTTTCTCTCTTTTCATTAGACCTTTGCCAGTACCAAAACATAATAATAGGGGTTTTCCCCCTTTTGTCTGACAACTGAAACATTTTACAAGGAATCGTGTCAGCATTAACCAATACTTGTGGTCGAAATGCAGACAAAAAACAACTGATAATACTGGTAGGAACCTGGTTACACCAGCCCACAGGGGATTATTGTGTTCGTCCGTCGTGCATCCAAAAATGGGAGGGGTGGGGCTGGGTGGGGAGGGTGTGGCTGGGTGAGGAGGGGAGGGTGGGGAGGGGCTGGGTGGGGGGTGGGGGTGGGGCTGGGTGGGGAGGGGCTGGTCACCCCGTGGTGCCCTTATAAAAATCAACGTTTAACCTACTCACGCCGGCTTGTGCCCGCCCTCAGTCGGGCATATTTGCGGAATACACCACGCCGCCGTTGACCCTGGCCATTGACCGAGCAACCCAACGTTCCTACCAGCTCCCTCCGCAGGAATGTGTTGTGTGCATTGTCCTTGAAACTGATTGGTCCACACCAGAGACAGCTTTCTTTTGAGCCTCGTCTCAATTGGTGCTCGACCAGAGGACGCCAAAAGGCGTACATCTCAACGACAATGCACTATCAAAGTAATAATACACTGGTCAACAAAAAAAACATTTTTTTCTGGCCTGGACTTTTTCAGCTGTTCTAGACTAATTTCAGGGTGCTGATTCCAAATCTGATCTCAGATTTGCTCTATCACATCTCATTTTTATGCAATCGGCATACCCCATTTTCATTGATTTTACCCGAAATTAACTCTTGTCACTTATGATTGCAAGTTGTTGCGAGTCAGTGACTGCTTTAGTCTTAAAATATGGTGTTGTATTTTTAGGATAGTGTGTTTATAATATAATTTTATGTATATATCCACATTTATTTAATATTTTTCTTCTGCAGTTTTTATTGAAAATGCAATATTTGATATCTCAAAAACCTGATGTGATAGACAAAAACTGATGCCAGTTTTGGAATCGGCACCCCAAAATTACCTTAAAACCGTTGGACTACCTTATGCCAGAAAAAGTGTGTTGACCAGTGTAATCGGTGTGTTTTTTGTTTGCATTTTGACCGCAAGTATTTTGGTTAATGCACACGTGATTCTTCGTCAAAAGGCTTCAGTTTTCTTGCCAGAAAAAAAGGGTAAAATCCTTTTATTGGCTTTCTTTTTAGTTAATTTCAGACGTCTTTCTCACCGCTTCTCTCCTTGCTCGGTGGCGAAACTATATTCCGCCCTTCCATCGGCACAGCGCCCCGAGAACGATTGTTTCAGCACGCTTAATAAATACTTGTTTTACATGGCGAAGAGAGAGAGGCACTGGGCTGCAGAGACGGCAGTGGTCGAGAAGAGGGGAGGAGAGGACGTGGAAATGGGGGACAGAACACGATGGAGAGGGAACGGAGATGAGAAGGGGGATGATAGTCGAGAGGGAATGGAAAGAGAGAGACGTGGGGGGGGGGGGGGTGTAGAGGAGGAGGGTGAGGGACGAGAGAGCGAGAGACACCGTGGAAGGCAAAGGAAAAGAAGGCAAGAGGGGAAAACTGGGAGGGACATCACAGAGAGAGAGACTTTGACTTTGAAACAACTTTTATTGCCGCCAGCAGCAACAGCACTGGAGGCGATTCCGATACGAAACACACAAAGTCACCAGCAAACAAATGAAAACAAACGCTGTAAATCCACGCGCTGTGGCGCTAAATGCACCGCGCACAACACGAAAGAAAAGCCACGTGGTGGTGTTGGTGGTGTTCAGCACAGAGTGAGCGACAGGTGGGGGTTTTACATAAAGCTAAGGTTAAAAAATGTAAAAAAAAAATTTTACGAAATGAACGAAGCAAAGTGCCGAATACACCGAGCATCTTCTTGTTTCCACTGATCGTAAAAAAAGAGAGCGGTGGGCAGTGAGAGGGAATGGGGGGGTTGAGTGCACGGGGAGAGAGGGCCTCTTCGGTTGGTGCTCGATTGGCTCCGCTCCCCCCTGGCTCATCTCCGCTACTCGTGGCTGACATGAACGCCAAGTGTCGGGACTGAGCGTGGGGTGGTGGTGGTGGTGGTGGTCTGCGTGGTGGATCGTGCTGGACGGGCCCGGGATCTCCGCCCCTGCTGCTTGCACGGGTGGCGCTTTGGTTGGTGGTGGTGGGGGGCGGTTTTACGAGGACGCCGCATGCGAAACAGCAACCACGGCGGGCGGACGGAGCGACTTGCGGTTGAAGTCTGCGCGGCTGCCGTGCAGTCAACGGACTGCGGCTTGGTTGTCACTGGTTGGGTTGAGGCGTGGTGGTTGTGGTGGTGGGTGGCGCTTGGTTGTAACTGTGTGTGGCCGGTGGTGGTGGTGGTGGTTGTTGACGCGTGTGTGTGTGTCTGGAAAAATAAGTAATATTTAAAAAAACTTTTTATAAAAACACGCTTTTATGAAATGTACTAGTAATGGAAGAACTCCACGACTCCAGGAATGGCTCCGAAGCTTGCCATAACGTCGGGGACCGTGGCCAATTACAGCCAACGTCAGTTGAGCGTAGACAATTCGACCCAAGCCGAAACATAACATAAAAAATTATGTTAAAAAAAATATATATTTTTTTTATGTTTTATGATAGGATATGGCATTGTCATCAGTATGACATAAGTATACCAAGTTTGCTGTCGATACCACATTGGGAAGTGGGTTAAAATTGAGTTACAGGATTTGAGGATACGACAACAACAACGACAACAACAACAGACAGAGTGAGTTAAATATCAAATCGTGTAATAACAACCGCCACCTCCTCCACCACGCTTTGTAGTGCCAGACGGCAACACTGATGATGATGGTGGTGGTGTCGGTAGCGAAGAGCGATTCCATTCCCGCTCACGGCCACCAACGCCGGCGATCTCAACCGGTCCTGCGCCTCCCCCTAGGTCCACTCGGCCTCAAAATGAATACCCGGCGCGACGTGAAAACATCGCCACCGGGGAGACAAAGGCGGCCGGGCGTGGTGCTGGCCACCCCATCCCCTTGGTATGCCGCCATGCCGGCCTTCGTAGGTGCTACTCGCTAACAGCACTTGCCCCACCAGTCTGTGAAGGCTACACGGGGGATCTTTGTCGTCGTTGGTGGTGGTGGTGGGGGAGGATCGGAAAAAAGTTTGACGTGAGTTGGCTTGTGGCTCTCATGCCAAGCTCGCATTCACCAGCAGCTCGCAAGCGCTGTGGGTTTAGTGCCAGTGGTTGGAAATTACCACCACGTTTATCGTATAACACTGGTCAACACACTTTTTTTCTGGCATAAGGTATTCCAAAGGTTTTAAAGTAATTTTGGGGTGCTGATTCGAAGTCTGGCATCAGTTTTTGTCTATCACATCAGGTTTTTGAGATACCAAATATTTCATTTTCAATAAAAACTGCAGAAGATTTTTTTAAAAATAAATGTGGATATCTACATAAAATTATATTATACACACACTATCCTAAAAATACAGCACCATATTTTAACACTAAAGCAGTCACTGACTCGCAACAACTTGCAATCATAAGTGACGGAGTAAATTTCGGGTAAAATAAATGAAAATGGGGTATGCCGATAGTATAAAAATGAGATGTGATAGAGCAAATCTGAGATGAGATTTGTAATCAACACCCTGAAATTAGTCTAGAACAGCTGCAAAAGTCCAGGCCAGAAAAAAAAGTATTTTTGTTGACCAGTGTAATCAGAGACAAAGATCCCCCGTATAGCCTGAACAGGCTGTTGGGGCAAGTGCTGTTAGCGAGCGCCAATAAAGGCCGGAACGGGCACATGACGGGGGTGGGTGGCCAGCACCACCTTCGGCCGCCTTTGTCTCCCCAGCGGCGATGTTTTTACACACCGCACCAGGCACTCATTTGAGGCCGAGTCGACCTAGGTGGAGGCCCAGGACCGGTTCAGATAATCGTCACCGGTGTTGGTCGTGAGCGGGAATGCGACCTCGGGTCGCCGGGCTCGTAGCGCGGCGTGCTCACCGCTCCACCACCGCTCCACCACCGCTCCACCACCGCTGCACCACCGCTCCACCACCGCTCCCCCCAGGGACACGCGGACACAAAGCAACGAGTAGCACGGGTGGCTGTATAAGGCGCGAAAGAAGTTCACCACCAACAACAACAACAGCTCGAGCGTGCGCAGGAGGGCCCCCAGCGGTTTATACCCCCTCCTGGCAGGGTCAAGGTTTGGGGGCAGGTGGCTGAAGTTATTCCCTTGCGGGAGTCCCCCAGATGAAATCGGCAACTGGTTGCTGCTGTGACTGGGGCCGTGGGAAATGTGTTTGTCTGGCCGCGGTTTTCGTCTGTTGCGAGTTAGAGGTGGGGGGGAGTGTTTGTTGGACGAGACGGGTTGGGAGCTGCGGTGGTGAGATGTTAACTACCTCGCCCGGTGTACAGGAGGTCATGGGTTCGATCCCGATGCCGACCCTGACGCATGCTGTGTATTTGGAGTTTGCGTGTCTCTCTCTCATCATCATCACGGTGGCTAGGAGATGTTAACTACCTCGCCCGGTGTACAGGAGGTCGTGGGTTCGATCCCGACCCTGACGCATGCTGTGTATTTGGAGTTTGCAGTGTCTTTCTCTCATCATCACGGTGGCTAGGAGATGTTAACTACCTCTCTCGGTATACAGGGGGTCATGGGTTTGATTCCGACCCTGACGCCTGCTGTGTATTTGGAGTTTGCGTGTCTCTTTCTCATCATCACGGTGGCTAGGAGATGTTAACTACCTTGCCCGGTATACAGGAGGTCATGGGTTTGATTCCGACCCTGACGCCTGTTGTATATTTGGAGTTTGCGGTGTCTCTCTCTCTCATCATCATGGTGGCTAGGAGATGTTAACTTCCTTGCCCGGTATGA